CTGCAAAACCGGTGTGAGGAGAAGAGGCACAGGCCCGGGGGAGGGTGTGTGCTTGGCACACGCTCCGGCACCCACTGTCCCGGGCTCCCGCAGGCCCGGCGCCTCCCCGTGGTTCCAGGCCCCTTGTGGGCGGAGGGGAGCTCTGAAGTCACTGACATGGGGCAGGGTGGGGGACACCCCCACGGGGGGAGAGAGTTCCTCCCTCACGAAGTTCTGGGAACGACCGCATGGCGGGCGACAAGTGTCATCATTACAAGGACGCACAGCCCTGCACACTCGAGGGGATTGGGGTTTGCATCCGCGGAGGCTTCGTGGAGGTGGCGCACTGCCTGGCGCCCGCTCTCGCCCCGCCTGCCCCGCCAGCCGCCCCCGCAGCGGAGGGAAGAGCCTGCTCCTCCGGGACCCCAGCCCTCGCACTCCCGCCACCGCGAGCCCCCGTGGGACCCAGAGGCTGGGGGCTGTGTCCTGTCCTTTCCTCCGGCTGCAGGAGCATCACCCTGTGGCTCCTAGACGGCCTGCATGGTCCCGGCTTCCTGCAGGCCGCCTCTGCCCTGGGCCCCGACGGTGGTGGTGGTCGCAGTGGCTCCCCGAGGTGTCACCCCAGCCGCAGAGTGGCTTCTCGGATCCACGAGAACAGGCCCTCCCCCGGAGCCCTGGGAAGGAACCCGCCTGTCCCCAACACGACTGCCGCCCAGGGAGGCCCAGTCAGCTCTGACCCCAGAACCATCAGGAAGTCCATGTGTGTGGTTTGGAGCCACTACCTCTGTGGCCGTCATTGCAGGCGCCGGGGTGGGGGGTGGTGGCTCGTGGAGTGCGACCAGGCAGTGTGCTTTGGGGACGGGCCCACGGCGACACATCACTGCCTGCGGGCAGCCTGCGCTCCGCCCGGCGGATGGTGGGAGCCGCGCCCGGGGAGCGGACACGCGAGCCCCGGCCCGGGCGCCTCCAGCAGCGCCCCTTCCAGTGCCTCAGTGGGCGCCAGCAGAAGAGGGGGCGTCACGTCCGTCAATGGGAAACCACGTACCTCTCCGTGTAGAGGAAGAAGCTGGAAACGCCACGGATGGAAGTTTGACGAGTGTGACTAACGCATCTCCCAGGCGATGGCCTCGGGTTTCAGGGAGGAAAGGTGTTTGCTTTGGAGAAACCTGCCAGGCACCTGCGGGCGAGGAGGGCATCGGGGAGCAGGGACAGCATCGGGGGCGGCCTCCCCGATGGAGAGAGCGTCAGGGCAACGCAGAGGAGGCCTCGGAAAATCACTGGCCAAAAACTCAAAAGTGTGTAGTTCCCGAAAGAGCGAAGGATGGTCCGAGCGGAGGGCGCCTGGGCCTCCTCAACGCCGCACCTCGCGTGGGGCAGCCCCAGGGCGGTTGTGGCTGTGGTGGCGCTGGGACACCTGTGACCCAGGAATGGAACTCGAGCACGGAGCCGCGTTTTATCAGCGCTGTTTTTACCGTGATTTTAGTTTTTAGAGACGCGGAGCAAGCGCTGAGGGCGCCGGGCGTGCGGGCTGCGGCTGCCTTCAGATGCCCAGGAGGATGGCTTCGGGCAGGTGTGAGGGGTGAGGGGTGAGGGCCCTGGCACTCGGGCCGGAGCGCGGGGACTCAGGCCATCACAGAACAAAGCCAGAAACGAGGTGTGCGAGCGAGTGGGAGCGAGGACTGAACACACATCAGGGCGCCCCGGTGGGGGCTCAGGGGGTGACCCTGGGTCCCGGGATCGAGTCCCGCCTCGGGCTCTCGGCACGGAGCCTACTTCCCCCTCTGCCTGGGTCCCTGCCTCTCTCTGTCTCAGGAACAAATAAATCAATAGTGTTTAAAAAAATTAAAAATAAAAAACAACTGAAGCTGTAATTATTGTGCAGCTTGTACAGCCCGGCCCGACACACCTGCTCTCTCGGTGGAAAGGGATGAACACACCTGGGGAAGTGAGACTTGTGGCCCCAGGTACCAGGAGCCCGCACCTGCCGTGGCGGGACCGACGGGGGTGGAGGCCCTGCCCCGCGGGTCACCTGGGTCGGGCAGGTCGCATCGCCCCGGCCTTGAGCGAGCGCCCGACTGTCCTCCCGACGCCCGCGGGCCCTGGACAGGGGCGACCCCTGGTGGCCACGGCGCGTCCCTGCAGCACCTGCCGAGCAGGTGTACTGAGCGCGGGACCCGCCTCCCTGCTGCGCCTGGGGCTCTTTGGAAGCAAGCTGGGGGGGGGGGAGGACGTTCCTCCATCCCTCCTCCCTCCTCCTCCCCTTCCCCCTCCTCCTCCCCTTTCTCCTCCTCCCCCTTTCTCCTCCTCCCCCCTTCTCCTCCCCTCCTCTCCTCCCCCTCTTAACCTCCCCCTCCTCTCCTCCTCCTCCTCCTCCCCCTCCCCCTCCTCCCTTCTCCCCTTCCTCCTCCCCCTCCTCCCCCCTCTTCCTCCTTCCCCCTTCCTCGCCCCTCCTCCTCTTCCTCCCCCTCCTCCTTCTCCGAGTCCCCCGGCAGGTGTGCAGAATCCCAGCGCCCATCTCCAGGCCTTCCCGAGGGCCCATCGCTGGAGGCCGCGTGGACCCCCCTGTGGCCGTGGTTCCGGGCCCTCACCACCGCTCCCGGCCACCCCAGGCCTCGCAGAGGACCCCGCCACCTCCCTTGCGCAGCCCCGCAGACCTTGCCACCGGGATGGTCTGGCCGGTCCTGCGCCGTCTGCACACACGGGGATCCCCTCGGTATCCCGAGCTGCGTGCCCGCTCCTGCTGGTGATGGAGACCCCCCTGCCCGCCCCCACGGCCTCTGCTGCCGGGCTCCTGGGGCCTGGTCCGCAGCCAGCGAGCCCGGGCACGTCGCCGGGTGTTGGGGCTCACAGACGTCCAGCCTTGGGAGACGATGCCAAGACCTTCTCCAAACTGAGACTGAATTACTCAGCGTGTAGATCATTCTCTTCAGCGTTTCGCTGCTCAGACTCCGAGTATCATCGGTTGTTTTCTGTGAAGAGCCTCTTCGCGTCTTTTTCCTATTTTTCACTTGCTTTACCTTCTTTCTTTCTCTTTTAAAAATATTTTTTTATTTATGATAGACACAGAGAGAGAGGCAGAGACACAGGCAGAGGGAGAAGCAGGCTCCGTGCAGGGAGCCCGACATGGGACTCGATCCCGGGACTCCAGGGTCAGGCCCTGGGCCAAAGGCAGGCACTAAACAGCGGAGCCACCCAGGGATCCCCTTTACTTTCTTTCGTACTGACTCTCGCATCCTGGAATCACTTAGGGTGGATTTCTGTGGGTGGTGTGAGGTGGCCGTGGCGGGAAGGGCGGTGGCTCCCGAGATGACCACAGTCTCACCCCTGGGACCTGGGAACATGGTACCATGAGCAGCGGAAGGACCTGTGCTCCTGTGGCTGAGGCTACAGACCCCGGGGTGGGCACGCCACGCTGGCCTGGGTTATCCAGGGGGAGTCCCCTGTAATCACGTGGGTCCTTAGGAACCGGGCCGTGTCTTGGCAGGGACCAGAGATGTGAGCGGGAGCAGGAGACAGACAGAGACGGAGGACGGCCGCGGGCGGGGGCTGCAGGCTCTGGGAGCTGGGACCGCCCCGAGCTGACCGGTCCCGGCCTCCCACTCGAGGAGCCAAGCTGTGCTCCTCTGGGGACAGGGAGTGCATCCTCCCCGCAGCGTCCAGAGGCCCCGCCCTGTCGCCCTCTCCATCCAAGCCGCCGGGACCCCCAGGGACTGCGACCTCCAGAAGTGCCAGGTGATGAACGTCTGGCATGGACGCCTCCAGGCGTGCGGGGGCGTGTCGTGCGGCAGCAGAGAAGGAACCCAGTGGGGCTCCATGCTCATCCCGGTCCCCTCCCTCCCCACACTGCTGTCACCCACTTTGCCCGCCCAACCGCGTCCCCCAAAGCGGACGCCCCAGTGAACAGATCACAGTCTGCAGTGATGTCGGGCCCCTCCGACCGTAGCTCTTATCTGCCGTGGAAGACGCACCCGTGGATCTAACCTAAGAGGGTCGGATATAGTTCGAGGTGGAAAAATAAATCACTGAGCACAAGGTGAGGGTTTAGGACACTTCAGGCCACTGCAGGGGATTCTGCAAGGGTCCCCCACATGGAGCCAGAGGCCCTCGAAAGCCCTTCTTTTGGGATCATCCCAGAGCCTCCTTCCTTCTCTCCTTTGCCTGATGGACGTGATGGCGGCCCAAGCATTAGGGAGGCGGGATGGAGAACTGGAAAGGACCTTGCCGCCTGACGGTTTGGGGGTTCCCTCGGGGCCCTGGGGAACGGAGCAGGAGCTGGGGCTTGGCCGGGCAAGGGCTCATTCCTTCAACAGCGAGCTGAGCCGGAAACAGCCAAGCAGATGGGGGGGGGGGACGCCAATGGTTGCAATGGCTGGAGTGTGGCCCGGCGGGCCGCAGCCAGGAGCTTCCTGTGCACAGCCGGGGAGCGGGGGGCATGCGTCGGGCCACGGGGGTGCTCCAGCCCTCACCTCCGCCGCGCTCTGACGACATAAGAAAGCCTGTTTTGAACAGCAGCTGTAGCGGAAGCTGTTTCTGGAAATGTTGGGGCTGGAAGAAGGTGCATCATCCATCCGGTGGGGTGACTTGGCTGCAAGCGCAGGAAACCGGCGACAACTCAGAGCCAGGAGAGCTCACTGTCGGGCGACAGGAAGCCCAGACACAGGGCAGGCTCCGGGCTTGCGGGGGCAGAGGCTCAATCCTCCTCGTGGTCACAACAGGGCTGCCCATGCTCTAGACACCGCGGGCAGTCCCCAACGGTCAGGCATGCTTGGGAGAGAGACGAAGCCGTTGCCAGACCCGCCCTGCAGACCCCTCGGGCCGTGCTCCTGAACCAGTCCCGGGGTGCGCGGCCACCCGCACGGGCTCCCTTAATCTAGAAGCCGCAGGACAGGGCAGGGGGCGGGGAGACCACCTGGAGCTGTGGCCCCAGGGTGGAATGTGGGCGGGCCATTCTCCCGTTGCCGGGTGACCACAGACACCCTGGGGGTTGGGGGCGCAGGGCTGAGGCGGGCAGGGCCCAGTCCATGGGAGACCGGCGGCACAGCTCGCTCCGCAGCCGCCAGGGCGCCGAGGCGGAAGGCCGGCCCGACAGGGGGCAGCACGAGGGTGTCCTGGGCATGCAGGGTCTGGGGCCTGGGGGCCGAGGACCCCAGGACCCCAGGTACGCGGATGACGGGGACCTGAGATCCGAAGAGCAGGACGAGGAGGTCCTCCCGGAGGTGACCAGGGAAGACATGGTCCCCAGTCCCCGGAGCCCCGAGGCGGCCCTGATGACGCTGCAGGGGGTTCTGGAGAAGGACACAGAGGACGGCATTCCTCAGCTGAGGTGGGCACCGAGGGGGCCCTGCGGCTGGGGCGGGTGCGGTGGGGGTGCGGGTGCGGGTGGGAGGGCAGCACAGGCAAGTATGGCCCGGGGCAGGGGTCTGGGACGGGCACCCTTATGGAAGCATCGCCCTGGGGAGCTGGGCGGACAGGGTTAGGGGCCAGAGGGGGGGTCGGGAGTGGAGGCCCCTGGGCAGAGGGACACGGGGAGCAGCTCCCAGCGCCAGGCCACCGTCCCCAGTGCCTCCGCTCCCGAGGCGGGTGAGGAGGGCCTGGTCCTCTGAGCACCTGCAGGGAGGGATTCGGGGCCAGTTCTGCAAAGAAGGGGCCCACTGTCACCCACCTGCGGGGCTGCCAGCTGTGGCCCTCCTGCCCTGCCCGCCGGCCCCCCGCGCCCGTGCTCTGGGTTCAGCTCTGGGTTCATCCTGGCCGGGTGCTCTCCCGTGGCCCCCTCCCCCTCCCCCCTGCACAGGGACACCCCCCCCCCCGTGGAGCCCGTGTCATGAGCACACACATGTGCAGCCTTCCAGGGAACGGCCAGGTGCCCCGGCATGGGACACTGCTCCTCCCAGGCCCTGGGCTTCCAGGCCGGCACACAGTGGGCGCTTAATACCTGCTCGTGCGTGAGGTTTAGTCTGATTTAGTCATCACGACCGCCTCGGGGGTCGGGAGCTGGTCTGTCCCACTTCGCAGAGGGCAGCGCCATGGTGACTGGTGGGGGTCACGCAGCTGCCTGGTTGGGAGCAGGGACTCAGCGGGGAGGGCCCTGAGCCGCGCCCCACCCTCCTCTCCCAAAGCCGCCTGTCCATTGCTCAGGAGGTCCCCAGCGCCTCCAGGGCCAGAGGCAGGAAGAGGAGGAGGGGGGTCTTTGAGCTGGCAAAGCCCAAGACCAACTGGCAAGTCCTGAAAGACAGGTGAGGCCTGAGGGCAGCCCTGCTGGGGGGCGCGGGGGGCAGCTCCTGCTGGCCTGCCCATGGTTACCCCGGCTGCTCGGCGCCCTCGCCCCGTGGGCACCCACCGATGACCGGGGCAGGTTCACAGGGGCGAGAGGTCAGGCAGGGCTCGGGCAGTGGGATGGGGTGGCCTCTGGGTGCCGACGAAGGACAGTGAGGCCTTTGAGCGAATGGAGCTGCAGAGCAAAGGCGGGGGCTCGGGCCTGTCTCATCGCAGGATGGGGTGCTGCTGTCAGGGCTTTGCCTGGGTGTCCCCGTGCAAGAGGAACTTGCAGTTCTGTGTGTGGTGGTGAGTCTCAGGGTGCCCTGGGTGGGGGCAGGCTCGCTCTCCTGCCCTGCTCTGGGGGGGGGGCAGGCTCCAGGGATCTGTCCTGCCCTGGGGGGATGCTCCAGGGAAGTGTCCTGCCCTGGGGGGATGCTCCAGGGATCTGTCCTGCCCTGAGGGGATGCTCCAGGGATCTGTCCTGCTCTGGGGGGCAGGCTCCAGGGATCTGTCCGGCTCTGGGGAGGATGTTCCAGGGATTTGTCCTGCCCTGGGGGGGATACTCCAGGGGATCTGTCCTGCCCTGGGGGGGATGCTCCAGGGCATCTGTCCTGCCCTGTGGTGGGGGCAGGCTCCAGGGATCTGTCCTGCCCTGGGGGGGATGCTTCAGGGGATCTGTCCTGCCCTGGGGGGGGCATGCTCCAGGCACAAGGACAGGGAGAAAGGCCCTTGATGGGGGGGCTTCCTCACCCCAAGGGCCTTCCCAGCCCCCCAAGCCGGGTGCTCTGGGCCCCAGTCCACTTCTCTGAGAGGTGGGCTTGTCCGCATGATAGGGCCCTGGGTCTTGCTCTTAGCTGTGCCTTGTTTTTTTTTTTTTTTCCCAGCTCTCCCTTCTCTGAAAATCAGCCCTGCTCAAAATTATCTGTGTTTCCCCCCTTGCCTCTCTGACCTACCCTCGTCCACATTCTCTCCACGTGTCTCTCCTTCCTCCACCCACCCTCATGGTGTCCCTCCTGGGCGTCTCTTTGGTGCCCCGGGTTCTGTTTCAGAGCAGGGCATGGGAAGTCTGTGCCCCGGCTTCCTCGACCCTGAGCCGTGACTCGGTGTATTCCAGGCCTTCTGTGTACTGGACGGAGAGGTTTCTTGAAGACACCACCCTCACTATCACAGTGCCCGGTAGGTTGAGCCCACCCACCACCCTCGCTCTCCATCAGGGGTCACCTGGCTCAGGAGTTGGCCAGAGGTGGCCCTTGTCCCAGCTCTAGTGCGTGGTTACCGTGGGTGACATGCCACCCTGGCCTCGTGGGGCTGGGTCACCCCCATTCCACTCCGGCCTGTGTGGAGATCCAACTGAGGAGATCCAGCTGGGGTCTCCCCTCGTAGCCTAACCTCACCAGATTCCCTATTGCTCCCTTGGCAAATTCGCCGGGGAAAAACCCAATTTGCTCTACAGCCAAAATGAGGGTTAGTATTAAATTTATTAAAAGACTTTTTGCCTTCCTTTCCGCAATGGTTTCTACACTCTCTGAGAGCAGAGAGCAGATCCCTTCAAATAAAACATTTCAAGAACTCCCTTATTGGAAAGAAGTAATAGGGCAGGTTGTGTCTTGGGGGTTTTAGAATCTTCCCCACAGTGGACACTGAGCCCTGTAAACCCTAGGCCTGTACTAACTGCAAACCAAAATCCACTTTCCCGCCAGTGGTTGTTGGAGCCACACTGAGCTCTACTGAGGGACAGATGGGCCTGAGCTCCCCATTGCAGCTCTGCTGCTCCCATGCTGTGTGCCCTGAGTAGGGGCTGCAGGCTGCTGATGGGGCCCAGAATGGGGGCAGCGCAAGTCACTGCGCTGCAAGGTGTCTGCTGCTCAGCTCTCTAGGCCCTCAGGGCCTCGCGTTGTCCTCTCACTGTAGCTAGTGGAACACTAAATCAAGCCAGAAGGAGATTCCTGAGGGTGGGTGGGTTTATAAGTCGGGGCTATTTCCTATGTTGTATAGAGGTGTCCCGCCGCGTAGAGGAACTGGCTCGACCTAAGAGGTTCTACTCCGAGTATTACAACAACAGCAGGTAAGGGAAGAGGCACCAGGCTCCCCTCGACAGGCTGTGGCAACGGGAGAATCTGGGTCCGGGGAGTGGACGACCTGGTTTCACGCTGGGCTGGGTGCCCCTGGGCAGCGCTTGCCCCTGTGAGCTACGCGCTCCACCTAGGGCTGCGTAGAGGTGGAGATGACACGCAGAAGGTACTTAGCACAGTGCCCGACCCAGCAACGCTCGGTGAATGTCACTTATCACCATTATGGGAGCCGTTGGCCCTAAACAGCCAGCAGCCTGGGACGTTACTGCATGTACAACCTTCAACGCAATACCTTCCTACGGCTCAGGACTTCCATGCTTGTCAAAAGTGTTCAGAGTTATTTAGGCACAGATTTTAATTATCTATTTTATGCACATAAAAGGGAAGATCATAACTGAAATAAGTGAGCTGAACTGTGAATGTTTTGAATCACTTTTTATCTCAGAGATGTTGACAAGCTCCACAGTGTTTTTATGCCTGTCTTTGTGACAGTGACTTTTCATTTTAATTTTTTTTTAAATTTTTATTTATTTATGATAGTCACAGAGAGAGAGAGAGGGAGAGGCAGAGACACAGGCAGAGGGAGAAGCAGGCTCCATGCACCGGGAGCCCGACGTGGGATTCGATCCCGGGTCTTCAGGATCGCGCCCTGGGCCAAAGGCAGGCGCCAAACCACTGCGCCACCCAGGGATCCCTGACTTTTCATTTTAATGCTGGATCATAGTGTGATCCAAAGATAATTTAAACTGCAATCAGACTTCATGTCTGTCGGTCCGAGAATGCATGTGACTCGGCTGAGGCCGTTTCAGTGCCAGCAACCACACCAGCGGGCACGCAGGCAGGGTCGGCCGTGGACCTTGCGACGTTAGGCTGAGAGCATTTGCAGCTGCAGTCCAGGCTCACAGGTGGACGTATGGACAGTCTGCCTCAGATCAGTGCAACACGGCTTTATTTCAGGGCAGAGGCCGCCCTGGCATCTGATCTCAGGAGATGCGGGCCTGGCGAGCTTTCTGTGACAATTGCAGGACGCCCCCCATTCTCCCCAATGCCCAAGTCCTGACCCCAGCCTCAGTGACGGGGGTGTGGGGGAGAGGCCCTGGGAGCTCCTGTCCCGCTCTGCTCAGGGGCACTGACCGGGAGGGTGGCCACTGGACACTGAGCCGGGATGACCTTGGGAGAGGGTAGCTCTGCCCTTGAGCACGCTTAGGGGCCTCCTTTTGGGGTTTCTTTCCTCAATCCCTTCCCGGAGATGTTTTCGAAACCCTGCAGCGTCCCAGGCTGTCCCTGACCCCCGGCTCGGAGGCAGGCCGGGAGGACGGGATGCCCACGCCCCGGGCTGGGCTGCTGTGTCAACTGTGGATGTCCCCTAGGAGCACCCCCATCTGGCCCATTCCTCGCTCCTCCCTGGAATACCAAGCTTCTAGTCGCCTGAGGGACCTGGCCATCCCGAGGGTCCGGAACAACATTTGGAGCATAAACATGTCTGAGGTGGGTGTCTGGAGGCGCCCGGGGCCAGCGCCACAGGGAGCGGGGCCCACAGCGGCCTGCACGAGGCGCTCAGCTGAGCGATCGGGGTTCGGGGCGCAGCTGGGATCCCCCCGGCACTGCCTGCAAGCGGGCTCACACGCGGCGTAGGCGTGCCCGCTCCGGGGGTCAGCTCGGTGAAGGGGTCCCGCGGAGCCGCCTGTGTGCCTGGGGCTCCCGCGTGTGTCGGCGGCTCCGGCCGGGCGGCCTTCTGTCCCACGGACGGGCCACTCCGCGCCCAAGGACACGCGAGCCGTTTCCAGCGTTTGGCTTTTGCAGACGAAGCTGCTCGGAAGCCCGCATGTCACCGTGGTTTCCATCTGCGTTATGTCACCTGTTGACGGGTTTTTTTCACGTGGTTGGTTCCCAGAGCCCCCGCTCCACAAACAGTGTTTAAGAGTGCATCCAGATATCACACCATTTTTCTCGGTAAATACTTCAGAATGTGTCCGTAACCGACAGCCGTGGGCACCTGACTATCCGAACACTCCGACTGCGTTCACTTTCCCCGGTTGTCCCCAACAAGCCCTTTATGGCCACGTGGGTTGAACGGGATGCGCTGTCCTTCGACCCGTCCCTCTGACCTGGAGACGCACCTGCCGCTTCCGGGGCTGCCTGTCTGCCCAGACGCCCCCCACCCCCCTCACCCGGCCGGCGCCAGAACCGCCAGGGCTCCCAGTCCTGGGAAAGCCCAGGTTCCCAAGCTGAGAACTGAAAACTCGGCCAGCCCTGGCGCCTCCTGCCCTCTCTTCCTTCATGCCCCTGCTTCGCTGGGCTGCATGCAGGGCCTGCCGCCTGGGACCCCTCGCTCGCCCTCATCAGCAGTGCTGGGGACCCCACCTTTGGCCTCCCGCGCCCCGCACGCTCCCGTCTCTTCCCCAGCCCCGAGCGCACCGTCTGCACGGACTGGTGGCCCTTCCAGCGGACCCTGAGCCATGCAAGACGCGGCCGCATCTTTCTCGGTTTTCGTGGCAATATTCCCGAGCTTGTCTTACCTCATGCGGGGCACGGACGGGCAATCCATGCCAGCTGAAGGCATGGCCAGGTGGCTGTTTACCTGCCCACCCGCCCCTTCAGGCAGGACTGCGTCGGGCCCGTGTCCAGGCAGCAGTCAGGCCTGAGCTGTGGGAGTCGTGGGGGAAGAAAGGACGCGAGAGGAAGGGAGGAGAAGGAGGACATGCACGTAACATCACAAACGGCACGACGTCCTCGATGAGAGCAGCGTCTGTGATTCTTAGGGGACACAATTTTAACAGGAAAGGGACTCAAATTTCAGCCTGACCTCTGGAGGTCATTTCAGCCAACTCCTGCTCCCAAGAGGTCGCCTGATAAACCGTGCTGTGCGACAGCCTTCGCACGACACGGACCGTTGCAGATAACCGGCCCCAGCCCAACATTCGTGGACTTAGTCTGACGTTTTACAGGCTTATTCAGATCCGCTCCTTGAGGAATAAAAGGTCTCGGCGATGACCCTTGCCTCCTCCTTCCCTCTCCAGAGGCATCAGGAGTGGCTTGCTCCTGTTTGCCTTGTCACGGTCCGAGACGTTCAAGGGTGATTTTGTCCACCCTTTGCTTCATTTGCACACGTGCAGGACCCAGCTGGAGGGCGGGCGGGTCATGGAAGAAGGTGCACTGGGGCAGCCTGGGAAGAGAGGGTCTTGAGTGCACTTTTTTGGGGGGCATGGGGGAGACTAGGGGCTCCCTTTGTGTAAGCTGATGCAAGGTAGCAAAGCAGACAGTTTTGTTTGTGCCTGAATTCTCTGGAAAAATGTAAGAAGCTGTCGATGGAGCAAGTGGGCTCTCCGAGTCGGCCAGGGCCTCCCTCCCCATTTTGAGCAGCTCTGCCTCACTGCCCTCATTTCAAACTCTATTATCATGTAGACCCATCAAGTACCATCATTGCATTTTGTGTGTGTGTGTGTTTTTTTTTGAAGATTTTATTTATTTATTCATGAGAGACCCAGAGAGAGAGGCAGAGACACAGGCAGAGGGAGAAGCAGGCTCCCTGCGGGGAGCCCGATGTGGGACTTGATCCCAGGACCCCGGGATCACGACCCAAGCCAAAGGCAGATGCTCAACCACTGAACCACCCAGGTTCCCCAGAACTCTTTATATATGATAGCTACTACTCCTTTGCTGAACTCATTGCAAAGGGACTTCTTCCAACTTAGTCCTGTGTCTTTTACTGTTGCTTGTGGGGTCTTTCTGATCCAGGGACCTGTGAGAAATCATGGATTATTGTGTTCTTTCCCTGTACTTGTTTCCAGGTGTCCCAGGTATCCAGGGCAGCCCAGTTGGCCATCCCCAGCCCAAGGATCCTACGGCTGGCAAAGCCCAGGGCCCCAGCCCCCCTGTTGGAAGAGTGGGACCCCATGCCGAAACCCAAGCCGCACGTGTCAGACTACAACCGCCTCCTTCACTTGGCCAGTAAGTAGTTCTGCTGGGACTTGGCTCCTTATCAGGCCCTTCTGTCCTTCTGCACTGGCCGCAGGCCATGGGGTGGGATACTCTCCAAAGACCTGGGCTCCAGGCCTGCTTCTTCCACATTCATGCTTCTCTCTTCATCTTTTTCCTAAACTGCAGATCAGTTGTCCAAAAACCCGTGTGCCGCTTGTAGCACAGCCCACGTGCGTGCTTCTGGGAGCTGGCAGAGAGGACTGTTCCCCAGGAGCAGAACTGAGAGGGGTGGTGGCCTGAGTGGGCCTCCTGGCAGGGCAAGCGGGTGCAGGAGAGCAAGGTGGGGTGCAGAACCAGGCACCAACGTGACAGCCCAGCTGAGGTCCAAGGGCAGCTTTAAAATGGCATCAACCTGGTTCTTTCCCTTTTGTTTAAAACGAACGAGGCACCTGGTTCCCCCAATGACAAAAGTAACGGACACAAATCGTAGAGAATCGGACGGTCCAGAAGAGCACGGAGAGGACGGGATCCTAGCGCACAGAGCAAAGGCACGCTCTGTAGTTCCATCTGGGTCTGCACGTCGTGTGTACACTGGTCCTCGACGTCCTGTGGCCACACGTATATGCAGGGGCGCACCCTCCCAGACGCTCTTCCCGCCTGGTGCTCCGGTGGCACCCTCGCGACCTCTGTAGGACTCCTGTGGGCTGTGCCTGCTGAGCCCTGAGCCCGCCCAGAGCTCCCCCCTCCCCCGCCTCCCCTCTGAGGCTGGCCATCCTCCCTGCACGAGGCCGTAGCCTGCCCTCACCTATCTCCATGTCCCAGGGAGACGCATCTTGCTAAACTCAACTCCGAGTCCGCCCTTCTCCGTTCACAGCCCTCTGGGGCTCCTGCCCCTCTCAGTGTGGCCCACGGGCTGTGTGATCTGTCCCCTGGCCTCCCAGACCGGGCTCCATCCAGCTTGGGCCACCCATGGCCCGGAACGCGCTCCCCAGACCCCTGCAGGGCTCAGTCCTCCACCTCCCGCAGCGCTTGGCCCTCTCTGCGCCCTGGGTGAGGCGCCTCCGTGCCCTCTCTCACTCCCATCTGGGCACCTACAAGCCCGTCTCTGTTCTTCTAGCACCTGTCACCTTCTGACATACGTCACTATGTATTTCTGTGTCTGCTTACGTGTGTGGTCTGTTAGCTGCCAGGCCCGAGGTGTCAGAGGCACTTAATCACCAGAGAGCCTGGCTGGCCATCTTGGCTCACTCGGTTCTATCATTTTCCAAGTTTCTATTTCTCTCTCTCTCTCTTTTTTTTTTTGGTTATTGATGTAGAGCAGCTCTTTATATAAGATGATCACGAATCCTTTATTGAGCACTTTGCAAAATACCCTCTTCCGCGTCTGCCTCTCCTCTTTTAGCTGGGCTTATGAAGTCTTTAGTTTGCTTATTCATTCCTTTATCCGCTCCCTTGATATTCCGTAAGTGAACGGCTAAGGGAGAGGAAGCGTGCGAGCACGTGTGCGTATGTGAGGGGGTGGGCCCAACAGTCTGACGCAGAGGCACGTGTGTGAATGCGGTCGTGTGTCTGTGCACCGTGCTCGGGTGTGCGCGGGTTGTGTTGCGGTGGGACACGGTCCTTTTCACATAGTGGACCTGCGCCCGCCAATGGCCGTGATGGGAGAGGAGCGACACGCGTGCTCCCGCCGTGTCGGCGCGGGAATTGTCCGTGGCCGCTCTGCCTCTCTGTGCATGTCCACACTGTGCTGTGTGGCAGGCGACTCTGTCACCATTCCACTCTTAAGTTTTCATTGGGAGAATTTTTAAAAATCAATTAATTAATTAATTAATTGATTTTTAAAAGATTTATTTATTTATTTATTCATGAAAGACACACAGAGAGAGAGAGGCAGAGACACAGGCCCAGGGAGAAGCAGGCTCCCTGCGGGGACCCCGATGCGGGACTCGATCCAGGGACCCCAGGGTCACGCCCCGGGCTGAAGACTGACGCTTAACCGCTGAGCCACCGGGGCGTCCCAATTAATTCATTTATTTTAGAGGGTGGGGAGGGGCAGAGGGAGAAGGGGAGGGAACCCCGGACGGACTCTGCTCTGTGTGGGGCCCACTCAGGGCTCGGTCTCACGCCCCGGGGTCACGACCTTGAGATCACCACCCAAGGCCACACCAGGAGGCAGACGCTCGCCGGCTGCACCCCCGGGGGCCCGTCTTGGGCGCAGGTGTAAAGCCCAGATGTCACGATTGCGTGAAAGCCCCCGAACTGTCAGAGGAGCTCGGAGAGGCCTGGGTCTTGCCCCCTGAGGCCCTTCTGCCCGGGGCTTGTCCCCTCACAGCTCTGTCCAGCCCTGGTGGCTTCCATGGGGACTCGCGCCTGCCTGGCGGGAGGGACCTTGCTTTCCTTTCACCAGGGTCCCTTGCCGAGCCAGGGCTTATCCTCTGAGAAGCGGGTCAGCTCTCTGCCCCTCGTACGGAGGCTCTGGACAAAAGGGGCTTGCAAGAGGCCTGTAATGTCCCTCCACTCTCAGGGTCCCGAAGCTCCCAGAGTCCGAAGGCTAAGGCAGTGACCACCAGTGACCACCCCTCTGCTGGTCCCCAGACAGGCCATGTGCTGCAGGAGAGGCTGGTGGGTGGAGGGGCGGAGGCGCTGACCAGCACAAGAGGCCTGGGGTGCGAAGAGGGGAGAAGACGGGCTCGGGGGAGCCACAGGCCCCTGCCCCTGTGGGAGCTCATCCCCGACGGCAGCCACTGCCGTGTGCGGCTATTTCAATGATGTTAAAGCCAACCCATTGGTTGATCTAAAATGAGTTAATCAATTGAATTTCCATTGACTCAAATAAAACTCCAGCCCACATCAGGTACTCTGGTCACACATGGCGGAAGGAGCCACACCTCCCGGGACGGCCAGCCAGTGCCCCGGGCAGCGTGCTAGGCCCAGGAGGCTGGTACTGAGTCCCACAGGGACCCTGTGCCCGGGAGCTGCCCCTGGGTCCCCCCCGGGGGTGCAGCCCTCACCAGGGAGAGGAGATCCACATCTGTCTGCGTGTAGCATCAGAGCAGGGGGGTGGGGGGAGGAGGTGAAGGACCCACCAGGCTCCGTCCTCACCTTGGCCACTAGGCTGGTCCCGCCATGTCCCCCTGTCTGGGACCTGTGGCCTTTTGAGATAGTTTTATCTTTACAATTTGCCCCTTTAAACTGTTTAACATGCGACAGTAAGAAAATACAGTATGTGTACAATTTAATAGTTTTCTGCACATTTGCAGTGTTGTGCACCCTTCACCACAATCCATTTTAGAATTTTAATTTCCTTAAAGAGAAACCCCATCTCCATTCTCCACTAGTCAGCACTCCCCAGCCCCCCGGAGCCCCCTCTCCGTCTGTGCAGGAGCACATCCTGGACGTGTCACATGCGTGGACTCCACCCCGTGGGGCCTCCTGTGTCTGGTTCCCTCCCTGGGAAGGAGCTCCCTCGGGGCTTGGGGTCGGTTCCCAGGGCGGCGTGGGGGCCTCGCTCCTGCTGGTGGCGGAGGGATGTTCCCGCGCGTGGGTGGGCCGTGTTGTCTGCGTCCATCCTTCTGCTGTTGGGCTTGGGAGCTTTGAGCCCCACGGGCCTGATTCGGGCCCCTCTCCTGTCCTCTCCAGTGCCCAAGGCCCAGTCGGACCAGTGTGTTCCTGACCGAGATCCGCGCTGGGAGGTGCTGGACGTCACTAAGAAGGCAGTGGCCAGTCCCCGGATCATCTCTCTGGCCAAGCCCAAAGTGCGCAAAGACCTCAACGAGGGCTACGACCCCTACCGCATTTCCCCAGCGTCCCTGGTGGCTCAGGCCTCCCCTCGCCTGTATGAGCTCGCTGTCCCCAAGAGCATCACCAAAAGAGTGTGAGCAACCCAGGCCTGGCCTCTGAGGTCCCATTCCCAGTAAACACCCAAATGCATCCTAATCCTGCGTGTGGTTGGCTCTGAGTGTCTTGGCCTGAGGGCGGGAGGGCAGACTGGACGGCCAAAGGGAGGAAGAAGAGGAAAATAATTATATTTATGTTTACATTCAACATGCAACCTGCGACTTGTATGGCCCTGTTATTTCCCAAAGCCCGTCCGTCCTCTCCAGCCTCTCGGATGCCTGGCTTCCACCTCCCTCAACTTCAGAATTTCCTTCTGACTCTCTTGTGCACACACATGCTTGTCCACCTGGTCCTGGGTGTCTACACGCACCTCAAACTCAGTCCCCTCCGTTGGAAAACCAGCCGATGGCTATTGCATGGCTTACTGACCTTTACAGTGACCCAGTGAAGGGGGGGCCGGAACTGTGCCCATTTTATGGAGGTAGACACTGAGCCTCGGAGAGGCTGGGAAAGACTCAGCCTCATCCAAGTCTCCCCGGGCCGCAGGGACCCACCACTCACACTGATGCTCTGATGGTTCTGGGCTCAGAAGTCCTAAAACCCACGTGCGGACGGGGCTGGTCACCCCCCCCCTCCCGGGGCCCCAGGGAAAGTCCCTTGCCCTCCACCTTCCAGAGGCGCCCCCTCCTCGGCCTGTGGCCCCTCCTCTGTCCTCAATGTTAGCAGTGTGGGGTCTGCCCGACTCTGGGGCTCCCCCCTCTGCCTCCCTCTTGGGGGGACTTGGTGAGGATGCAGGGCCCCCCGGGACTCCAGGGTCACCCCACCTCGGGGCCTCGACCAGGTCCCCTCTGCTGCGGGAGGTGACGCGTCCAGGTCCGGGGACAATGACGTGGGGATCGTTGAGGGCTGTTGCTCGGCTGACTCTGGTGGGAGAAACACCTTCTCTCTGAAACCCTAAACAAAGCCCCGTATTTTGCTGGCTCTGGCCAGGCTGCTGGGGACTGCTCACTGGGTCCTGGTGGTGCGCTGTGCGACCGGCCGGCCCTCTGCGCAGTGTCCCACGTGTCAGGTCCCAGGCCGTGCGTCTGGGGATCCAGAGTATTAGCACACTCTAAGTTATTTAAGGAGATTCATTCATTCAATAACTTAACGGATGGAATACTCACAGGTGCAGGACTAGACAGGCGATCAGGAGTAAAAAGTCAAAAAAATACCCCACCCGCATGCTCTTGGTACAAACTGACAAATACTCGACACTCCAGAAGGCGGGGCTCCCAGCTCAGAGCCTATGGGGATTGCTGCGGAAACGTTTCTTTAAAAAAATAGTATTTTTAAAATTTTTAAGTAACCTCTATACCCAGCGTGGGGCTCGAACGCACCCCTGCGCAAGTGTTTCTTGAAGAGCCGAGGGAGACGGTCGGAAAGGCAGGTTCAAGGAGTGGAAGGGACCGGCCTGGGTCCGTGTTGCTCTGGGGTCGTGCTCGTGCTGCTGGAGGCGTTTGTGAGGAGGGCGGTGGGTGACAGCCGGGACGCAGACCCCCACCCGTGTCCCGAGGTCCCATCTCGAGTCCAGCAGATTGGATTCCATGGTCAGCGGAGCAACGGCCCAAGATGTCCTGAGACCTGGGATTGTTATTTTACGCGGCAAGAGGGACTTTGTAAGCAAGTTTTAAAGATTTTGAGATGAGGGGATTATCCGGGAACCCTGGGTGGGTGCGACCTAATGACGCGCTTCCAGGAGGGTGCTGGGACACCTCGGCGAGATGTCACGCTTTGGCTTCCACGGAGGACTGGGGCTGGGAGGCAGTGCGGCCGCTGGCACCTTCATTCCTGCCCGGTGAACAGCACCTGTCGCTTTGTGTGGGTCCATCTGGTGGCAATTGGGGGCCTGTCGGATGGGCGATGGGACACTGAGCCCCGCCACTCACGGAGGGACTCGCAACAGCAGGGCGGGGACTCCAGACAGCAGGGAGGGGGACACACAATGGCAGAGAGGGGGACTCGAGATGTCAGGGAGGGGACTCACGAGGCTGCAGGGAGGAACACACCTCCCCAGGGAAGAGAAGTCGGACGGATTGTCAACCTTAGGAACCTTTAAAACAAGACACACTAAAAAAAAACAAAAAACAAAAACAAAACCAACAACAACAAAACAACAAAACAACAAAAAAACAAGACACACTAAGAGCTTCGAAAATTTCTTTTTTCCTGAAGATTTATTCGTAAGCGATCTCCGCGCTCAGGTGGCGCTGCGGCTCACAGCCCCCAGATCAAGTTGTGCGCCTTCCAACGGAGCCCGCCGGGCACCCCAAAAGCCCTAAACCAACTGAATGCCCAAAATGATGTGCAGGATCTCTCGTCAAAGATCACTTCTGGGGCGCCCGGGGGCTCAGGGTGGAGCGGATGCCTTGGGCCCAGGGCGTGACCCCGGGTCCCTGGATCGAGTCCCGCCTCGGGCTCCCCACGTGGAGCCTGCTGCTCCCTCTGCCTGGGTCTCTGCCTCTCTCTCTGGGTCTCTCATGAATAAATAAATGAAACCTTAAAGAAAAAGACCACTTCATATTTTAGCGTTCTTTGTCGAGTTGAGAAAATGCAAACTTCACGCAAATATATCTATGAAATAAAAGTCAACCAGCCTACGTTTAGCTGCCCACCTCGAGAGTCCAGGCGTCAACCGGGAACCACGCGTTGCCGTCGCACCTGGGTTTCGCAGTCGGCCTCGCTGAGACCGCGTGTGCACACGGCAGGCTGTCTGCTCCTCCGGGTGTGCTTTCACGAGCACCGACAGGCACGCAGCTGTGTCACCACCACCGCCAGCTCCCGGTTGAGAGAGACGACACTGTCGTTTGCCTCTGAAATTCCCTGGTGCTGCTCAGCTGTCAGCTAGTGTCCATCCCCAGGCTCCGCTCGGTGTCCCTGAATTGGAATTTTCCAGAACTCGGGTATGTGGGGAAGGCACACACTGCCGCCGGCTTTGTCTTGTCCACCTCACGCCCGCGGTCGGGATCTGTGCCCTCATCCGCCTGGGGGTCCAGCTGAGGCAGGCCCACTTATACCTCAGGCGGGACAGACGCTGGGTCTCCTTCGCCTTCTTGTGTTGCACATCGAAATTGCCTGACTGCTTGTGTTTGTTCTTTAAATCTTTCAAGCTGCGACTCATGCCTTATATCAGAGGCGAATCCCTCGGGAAGCAGATTTTGAGACAGAGATCATGGACAGGAGGGCTCCTGGGGACCGCACTTGGCAGGCAGTGAAGGAAGAAGGGCCAGACAGAGGGACGGGGGCCGTGGCGACAGTCTCAGCCAACCCGACGGGGCCTCTGGAGCTTCAGACTCGTCCTCTGCTGGCCACAGGTGCTGGCTCATGTGTTTGCACGGACAAGCCCCCGGCGTGGACAGCCTCTGCGGAGGAGGGGGGCTCCCTTCGGCCAAAAGCAGGGCCCGGGGGACCTTCAGCTTAGAGCCACCAGCCGCCAAGACCCCAGCAGCTGGGAGAAATGCTGCTTCCACATGTCGGGGGGTCGGATGGTGCCCACGGCATCCACTGTGGTCCACCCAGAGCTGCTCAGTCCACGTAGTATGTTCTGGAAACGTCTCACCCAAGATTGTGCTAGGCCTCCTTTTCTTTTTTTTTTTAAATTTTTATTTATTTATGATAGTCACAGAGAGAGAGAGAGAGAGAGAGAGAGAGACGCAGAGACATAGACAGAGGGAGAAGCAGGCTCCATGCACCGGGAGCCCGATGTGGGACTCGATCCCGGGTCTCCAGGATCGCGCCCTGGGCCAAAGGCAGGTGCCAAACCGCTGCGCCACCCAGGGATCCCCTAGGCCTCCTTTTCTGAGGGAAGACGTGCACGAAACGATGAGTGGGGTGAGCTGTGGTCTGCAGAGCCACCTCAGGCTGCGGCTGAAAGCTGGCCCTCCCCACCCGCAGCGCACACTCTCCACGGCTCACTCTTGCTCTCTGTGACCCGCAGGGCGGCCCAGACCTCAGGCCCTGAGACGCCCAAGCACTTAGTCACCAGCCCCTGTGAGGCCACGAGGGCTGCACAGTCCCCGTCACTTGGGCCGATGACAACCAAAGAAGGTGCGCGGCACGGTGCCCACGCTCACGCGGGTGTCCAGGCCTTGGCCACTGCCAGTGCCAGGGATGCGCTCCCTGCCTCTCTGCTTCTTCCTTTAAGACTTGATCAAGGACACTGCCAAGTTCTTAACTCTATTTTTTTTTACTTTTTATGTTGAAAACCATTCAGGTTTACAGAAGAATAAGTACAGCTAGAAACTCCACACACCCGTTCCCACAACCAGCTGTTAACATCTTGCTCCACTTCCTTTATCTTTTGCTCACCCCCCGCCGCGCCCCTGCCCCGTCCATGTTTGGTAGAGACAAGCTACACTTTTCCTAACCACTGAAGTTGCACGCATCGTGGCACCTCACCCCTTCGTCCCTTTGGGCTGCTCTATCGAAAATGCCACAGGTCAGGTGGCTTATAAAGAACACAAATGTATTTTTCATGGTTCTGGAGGCTGCGAAGTGCAAGATCAGAGCACCCGCAGCTTTGGTGTCCGGGGAGGACCTGCTTCCTGCATCCTAGGCTCTCTCTCCGCGCCACGCTCACAGGGTAGAGGGACAAGGGTGCTCATCCCATGACCTCCCAAGTGCTCCCCCAAGTACCATCATATTGGGGATTAGATGTCAAATGTGAATTTTGGGGGAAACACAGACGTTCAGTCTATTAACCCCTAAATATTTCAGTGTAAATTTCTTGTAGAATAAGAACACTCTCTTACAGAACTACAGCCGGTCATTAACTTCAGTGAGCTTGACATTGATATAATGTATTTATCTAATCCACACCTCAATTCCAATTTTGTCAATTGACCCAATGATGTGCCTTCTAGCGTTTCCCTCCACACTAACCAGATCCAGGAGCTGTCCTGTATGAAAACCTGTTTTTTTTTTTCTTAAAGATTTTATGTATTTATTCATGAGAAACACATAGAGAGAAAGAGAAACAGAGAGAGAGGCAGAGACACGGGCAGAGGGAGAAGCAGGCCCCATGCAGGGAGCCCGACGTGGGACTCGATCCTGGGACCCCAGGATCATTGCCTGGGCTGAAGGCAGACGCTCAACCACTGAGCCACCCGGGCCACCCTGAAAGCCTGTTTTATTTATTTATTTATTTATTTATTTATTTATTTATTTATTTATTTAGTTATTTATTTATTTATTTATGATAGGCACACAGTGAGAGAGAGAGAGGCAGAGACAGGCAGAGGGAGAAGCAGGCTCCATACACTGGGAGCCCGACATGGGATTCAATCCCGGGTCTCCAGGATCGTGCCCTAGGCCAAAGGCAGGCGCTAAACCGCTGCGCCACCCAGGGATCCCCCCCCTTTTTTTTTGATTTTTTTTGGAAAGCCTGGTTTTTAACAGCATTAGCATTTCCGAAGAATATAGTCCTTCTTTGTTTAATTGAATGTTCCTTAGTTGGGGTTTGTCCGAAGTTTTCTCAAATATAGATACAAGTTTTGCATTTCTGGCCAGATTAAGTGATGTAGTGTCCTCCTCAGGGCATCACATTGGGAGGTACGTGGTGTCCATCTGCCCCTCACTATCATGATGTTATTTTTTTTTTATCACTGGGCCAATGTTGCCTCATTTCTACACTGTAACTAATGACCAGTCAGTGGAGAGAAACTTTCAGGCCTTAAAAAGATCCTTGTCTTCATCTGATGCCTGCCCTCCACCCGTCACACGTCCCCGAAGATTCTTGTCGCAGTCCTCTCCGAGTTTTCTCTGGTTACCCTAGGCTGACTCTGTCCTGTTCCTTGCTTTCTGCCGTGTGGTAGAACACAGACACGCGTCTCCCTGCATCTGTTGCTCGTCTCCCTGCCTTGCTGGACCCCACGGGCCCTGCACCCTGTTGAGGGCTGCAGGGAGCAGGTGCTTAGCTGATTGGCTGAACGAGTGACCGCATGGATGACCAAGTGCTCTGTGGGTCAGTGAGGCCTGTGGGTCACAGTGGCCTGACGCTCCCATCTGAACGAGGTGCATCTGCAACAAGGGGTAGGGAGCGCCCTGACTCAGGTCGCGGTGGACGGCCGGGGCCCGAGCCTGGCACAGGGTCTCAGAGGGCTGGAGGAGCATAGAGCCCGATGCAGCTCAACTTCCCGGGGCCACTGGCTCTTGGCCGGGACATGGAAGGCTCCTGCGTTCCCCACCTCCCCTGCCTTGCTGGGAACACCACCAGGTCATCCGTGCCAGAAGCCTCGGGCGTCCTCCGTTCTCTCCAGGCATCGGGGGTCCGCCTTCCTGCACCGTCCACTTCTGCCCCAGCCGATGGCCTCCGTGCTGGGCTCCCTGTGCGTCCCTTGCCTTCTGCTCCTCTCGTCATGCCACCTGCACGAAGCATGATGCCCGATGCCTGATGCAGGATGCACGATGCCCGATGCAGGATGCCTGATGCCCGATGCAGGATGCACGATGCCCGATGCAGGATGCCCGATGCATGACGCAAGATGCCCGATGCAGGATGCCCGAAGCAGGATGCACAATGCAGGATGCAGGACGCACGATGCACCCTAAGCCACCAGGCTGACCTGCGCGCTGCGCCCCGGGCCACTAACCCTAACAGGGGACCTGGGGACCAGGGCCAGCCGGCGCGGGGGCGGGTCCTGCACGCGCAGGGCACCACCTCCCGGCTGGTCCGCGGGACCTGCGCGCCGGCCCGGGGGTGGCTCTCCGGCACCGCCGGCGGGTCTCGCTGGGCCCAGAGCGCAGAAAGTTCCAGAAGCACGCCGGCCGGCCTCCCCCCGGCGGCAGCACTTGCGCGGGCGGCCCCGACCCGGTGCACCGGTCGGACTGGACACGGGGCAGGTGTGGGCGCCGCCGCCCCGGCCCGACCCCGGCTCCGGCCCCGCGCGCCCACCCGCGCGCCCGCGCCGCCAGCCCCGCGCACCTACTACGCGCCCGCCCCCGCCCCGCCCCGCGGCCCCGCCCCCCCGGGCGCCGCAGCCAATGAGCGCGCGGCCCCGCATCCGGGGATCCCGGCGCGGCCGCCGCCTCCCGCTCACACACGGCCATGGCGGAGGTGAGTGAGCGGGCCGGGGGAGCCGGCCCCCCGCCCCCGCGCGCCCGCGCCCCCGCCGCCGGGTCCCGCCGCCCCGGGCTCCGAGCGCCGACGGCCCCCCCGCCCCGGGGAGCGCAGGCCCGGCCCGCCGCGCCGCACCCGTCGGGGCCCGGGGGGCGCGGAGCTCCGTCGGCGGCCGCCCCCGGCCCCCCCGCCGCTGCCACATCGCGGGCGCAGTGCGCATGTGCGGGCGGGGGGCGGGGGGCGGGGCGGGGCGCGCGGAGGGAGAGGCGCTCGCGGGCTGCCCCCCCCCCTCCCGGCTGCCGGGGCCTCGGCCCCGTGCCCGCAGCCCTGCCCCCTGCCCCCCGCCCCCCTGCCCCCGGCGCCCGCCAACTTCGCGGAGTGCGCTCCCCGGGCGCGCGGTCGGGACCCCGCGCGGGACTCGAACTCCGGCCCGCCCTGAGCGGACCCGGCGCGGACCCTCCCCGGGGCCCGACCAGCCTCACCGCTGAGAGCCTCCGCGCGCCAAGCGGGCCTGCGACCCCCCCCCCCCCGCGGAATCCCGCGGCCAGATGCGCGTGGGGACGCGGACTCTGTGGCTCCGGAGCCCGGACGCGGGGGAAGACGCGCCCAGGACCGTCTGGGCGAGCAGGAGCCGCAGGTAGCTTCAGGCGCGTCACACCGCGGACGGGAAACTTTCACTTTGGGGTATTTGTGCTGATTTGGTCGGTTTGTTTTTGACTTTGGAGTGTTGGATGAGGCCGGGCGGAATGTCCTCACCCCTCAGGGCCCTGCTGAGGGTTAGACGGTGCACCCGCCGGGGCTGCCTAAACCTGACCCCTGGTGCACGACGTTGCGGTCCACGCGCGAAGTGAGGGCCCACGCCAGGCCGGCCCACAGACTCAGCAAGTGATCCTCGTCCAGTGGGTGGGGCCTCTGCAGCCCGCAGGGGAGAAGGTGCCCACCCTATGGGCTTGGCAGGCTCATGGGGTATTCGGCATGGCTGTGGGACCCAGCCGGGTCTCGTGTTTTAGCACAACACGGTGGGTGATGCGCAGGTGGGAATGGCCACTCTCTTCCGCAGGTGACCTGAGGGGCAGCAGCGGGCCCGCACTAAAGCAGAGAGGGCGCGGATGTCTGGGTGCAAGGCCGAACCTCACCAGCCCCATGTGCTGGGTGACTGGATCCAAAGGGTTCTTAGTTCTGCTTCCTTAGGGAGTGTTTAGGGAAACCGAGGCCTCCCGGGGGGTCAGAGGCAGAAGCCAGGTCTCTCGGTGGCCCGGCAGGCAGGTGTGGTGCTGTGTTGGTGTCTGTGTGTGCTCCTGGCTCGGGCACGCGTGGCATTTGGGCGGCACTCCTGGGCTGGCAGGTGGCTGTGTGTCTCGGAGAGGTGGGGCCGAGTTTGGCTCCTGACTCTGCCTTGCCCAGTGCCAAGCCCCCGCACCCTAGCAGCGGCCGGCTGCCCAGGCCGCCCCTGCCCCACGTGCGGACAGTGTGCGCTGCTGCCCTGGTGAGTGGATCTGAGTTGGTTTCCCTGGAGAAGATCCGTGTATGAGCACACCCGTGTGCCTGGTGCCGTGCGAGGCCTTGAGGGTCCGGCTGTGAGCACAAACCCGAGGGTGCCGTTCCCAGAGGCCTGAGAGGCTGGTCAGTAAAGGACCAACAAGTGTGCAGGTGACAGAAGTGATGAGGACACTTGTTGCAGGGCAGGCGCCCCCTCCTCTCTGTGACCTTGGGCAGGTGACCATTCAGAGCCTCGTTTCTGCGCCTCTGAAACGGGAAGGCCCTAGAGTTGAGGTCTCGCAAGACCTTGGCTCAGTGGCTTGCACAGAGAAGCTGATCCTGACGGAATTACGGTAAAGGTGGCAGTTTGTGAGCTACCCGTGAGCGCCTGGCCGGTATCAGCTGCCTGGTCTCCGTCGTTGCTGGAGCGGCGTCAGCACCACGAGAAGGTGGTGGAGCCCCGTGGTGGAGCCGTGCTGTCGTCCTCGCACGCACCAGAGGAGTCCCTGGACGACTCAAGGACTGTGCTTGTCTTGTGTTTTGGACCGTGCGGAGCGGTCCTTTGGCCGTAGGGTGAAGTGCGTGTCCTCCCTGTGGCCTCAGCCTGGTGGGGTGGTGCCCACAGACCTCCTCGGAGGGACCACCTGGCTCCTCACCGCCCCGCCGCCGGTTGTCTCCCCTCAGGACTCCGTGTGCCCGTTCCCACTCGTTTGTGCTCTGCGTCCCCAGCGAGCCTGGTACCTTGTGTGGGTGGAGACGGGCAGAACCTGTTTCCCGATGGGCCGCAGCGCCCAGCTCGGCGGCTGGCCCGGGGCACGTGTGCCCTAGATGTCGGGGAGCAGAGGAGTGAAGCGCGCGGTCAGCGGTGTGAGTGGGGCTGGGCCCTCCTCCTTCACTACGTAGGCCGTCCCTTTGAGAATCTTGGTTGTAGGACAGCGATTGTCGTCTTGGTGGCCCCGAGGGCTGGCTGGGCAGTTCTCCCGCAGGGTCCGTGCCCTTGGCTGGCTGCGGGGCTGGAGCCGACCGCGGAGGCGAGTGTCCCTGCTCCCATGAGGCCGTTGGTGCCGGCTGCTGGCTGGGACCCCGGGCAGTGGCCTCCCAGTGTAGCTTGGGCTTCCTCACAGCGTGGCATCCGGCGACTGTCCCAGAGGACACCAGTGGACATGAGCTGCCTCTTAAGACCTAGCCTTGGAAGTCTTCTGGGCCCCCCCCAGGCCCAGGCCCTCCGGGTCTCCAGGGAGCGCACGGGAACCGGGTCCTAGGAGGGGCAGGGGGAGGAGGGCGGGTGGGAGGGACGTGGGTGCAGCTGCTTGGGAGTGTGGATCCCCACCGTGGGCTCTGCCGGGAGGGGCAGCGGCGGGAAGCAGACGCCGCCTGGGGACGGGGAGGGGGACGGGGCCCTGTGCCCCAGCCCCAGCCGTCGGGGTCCACCTGAGGCGGGCAGGCCGGAGCCCTCGGTCGCGGGGCCCCGAAGGCCTGCCCGGCTGTGAGGGGTGGGGAGGGTGCTGGCCCCGACCCCGAGCCCTGACCCCGGCCGCCTCCGCCTCTGCCTGCCGACCCCAGCCCGGAGCTCAGGGCTCCGCGCTCCCGCCGCTCCCGCCACAAGCCTCGCCGCACATGCGCAGACGCCTACATGCGCTCGCGGACCCGCACACGCGCAGACGCACGCAGGGCCTCCCTGCCCGCCCATGCCTCCGCATGTGCAGGTGCTCCAGGTGCCCAGACACCTGCTTGCACACACGCGTGCTCGGGTCGCCCCAGGCTTCGAGGCCGCCCTCGTCGTCGGGCCGGTGCCCTGCGGTGGGAGGGGCTCAGTGGCTGCTCCGGGCTTCGGGTCCCCGCCTCCCCAGGGGCGGCTTGCCCACCTCCAGGGGCGTCTTGAGGACCCGGTGAGGGAATCCCTAATAAACTTTTTCCAAATCCTAAACTTAACTTTATTAGATATTCGAAGCATTTGTGTGTGTGTGCAGAGCTTTACTGAGGAACGTTCGTGCAATTCACATGCAGACTTGCCTGGTTTCTAGCACATTCAGAGCTGTAGCGCCATCAGCCCCCTTGAGAGTGTCCCATCCCCTAGGGGATGTCCCCCCAGCCCCGGTCCCCCAGCCCTCACCCCGTCCTGCACGTGTCACACGCGTGGACTCACACTCCGTGGGGCCTCCTGTGTCTGGCTCCCCGCCTGAGCATCGTGGGCTCGGGTCCATCCCCGGGGCATGGGGGGGCCTCACTCCTGCTGGCGGCCGAGGACACTCCATTGTTCTGCCTTGGTTTGTGTTCTCATCGGCTGGTGGACATGTGTGTTCTTTCCACCTCTGCTGCTTGTGAATGGTCCTGCCATGAACGTTCATGTGCGAGTTTTAGTGTAAACGTGTGTTTTCTTCTTCCTTGGGCGTCTTGGGGGAAGTAGGGCTCAACTGTTTCCCTTCCCCTCCTAGGTTTTCAGGCGGGGGCCCTGTGATGTACACTAACAAAAGACATTATCGAGAGAAATAAGCACAGTTTATTAACACAGGCAGCACACATCACGTGGAGAAGTCACAGTGAGTAACCCTGGGGCTGGCCAGGACTTGGGCTTGTGTGCATCTCAACAAAAGAACGGTAAATGTGCACCACGTGTCACGACACAGGAGGGCTTTGAGTCCGTCCGGGCACCAGGTTGTGGGAAGGTGGAAATGCGGGGAACTAGTGGAAGGCCAGGCTAGTTAGTTAGCAAGGTTGGCTTGTGCAGACGCGCTTGGTGCTAAGCTGCTCCCCTCCTGGTTCAGGGCGGGAAGGGGGAGGTGCCTCACAGGGACTTACATTCTGCTTTGAAGCAGACAAGGGCAGCGCAGAGGTCATCCCATGTCTGCTTTTGCTCAGCTGCCTTCATCTCACAGTAACCTGTATGCCAGAGTGGCATACGTTGGGGCGGCACCCTCTGACCCCTTCAGTGGAATCGCTGGGTCCCGTGACCCTGCCCAACGGCTGCGGGACTGCGGACTGCTTTCCAGAGCACCTGCCCTGCTTTGCATTTCCACCTCTGACTTGCTCTCCTCTGATGGTCGTTTTCTCGTGTGCTTGTGGGCCAACTGCATCTCTTTGGAGAAACGTTTGTTCAGCTCTTTTGCCCATTTTTGAATTGCGTTACATTTTCATTAACGAGTTGTATTCTAGATATAGGTCCCTTCTCAGCGGTGTGATCCGCAGACCTCCTCTCCCTCTGTGGGTTGTCTTCTCACTTCCTCGATGATGTCGATTCAAGCAGAAAAGTCTTCTGTTTAGATGAAGTCCAGTTTATTATGTACTTTTCTCTTTTTTCTTGTGCTTTTGGTGTTTTATCTAAGAAACCATGCCTGTGTCTAGGCAATAAAAGATCTGTCCCTCTGTTTTCTTCTAAGACTAATACAATTGTAGCTCTCCTGCTGAAGGACTTGGATCCGTTTTGAGTTCACTTGTGTGTGGTGTGAGGTAGGCATTCGGCTTCATTCTCTTGCATGTGGATTCTTATTGTCCCAGCACCATTTTTTGGAAAGACTGTTCATTCTCCACTGAGTTGTTTTTGTCACTTTTGTTGACACTCAGTTGGTGACAAGACTGTGGGTTTATTTCTGGGTTCTCAAGTCTGTCCCTTTGATGTAAGTGTCCAGCTTTACGTCACTGCCACACTGTTTTGATTACTGTAGCTTTGTAGTAATTTCAAAATCAGGAAGTGGTGTATTTCAGGGTTGCTTTGGCTTATCCATGTCCCTTGACTTTTAGTATGATTTTTGGAATCTGTTTGTCATTTTCTGCATAGAAGCCAATGGAGACTCTCCCAGATGAGGCCACTTCCTGAGGTCGTCTGGAGAGTTGGGCTCTGAGCTGCACCTGCTCCCAGGCGTCATGCACAGACGTCTGCCAGTGGGTTCCGGACCAGCCGAGCCAACCTTACTTCTGTTCCTCCGCAGGCCTCCTCGCTGGAGAGGCAGAGCCCTGGCGTGGCCTCCTGCCTCACTCACAGCCTGTGCCCTGGGGAGCCCAGCTTGCAGACAACAGCAGGTACCTTCCTTGCCCCGTCCTTCCTCCTGCCCAGGGCCACCAGGGCCGCTATGGTTGTAAGAGACAGCGTCTTGTGCAGCCTGGTAGAGCCAGGGACAGGGGTGCGGGACTCTGTCCTCATTTTCTAGTGGGGGCAGGTCAGCCAAGGAGAGGACCAGACTGCCTCCTCCCTGGGGTGGCCCTCAGACCTGGCAGGCAGCTTAGGTGAGGCACGAAAACTGGGTTGTTCGGTGCTGGGTGGGCACTGCTCCCAGGTGCTCTGCATCCCCCACCACCAAACTGGCCCCTCGCAGCCCCACCTCCTCCTGTGTGTGCTTTTGAGCCATGTGAGGGAGGAGGCCAGCCTCGCCTCTACTGCTCCCTGGCCCAGGTATGGATGGAGCCCGTGCCATATCCCTTTGTGTTGTTTTGTCTAAATTTGACTTACTGAAGACCAGAATGGAGAGAGAGAGCAACGAACACATCCTGGTTCTTTTGGGAAAACCAAAAATCTGGTCACATCTGCCATCCTTTGGCCTGTGCAGGTGGTAGTGCTGTGGCCCCGCTGAGGCAGGAGAGAGGACTGGCGTTGGCCGGACCTCCTTTGTGTCCCCACTGGCAGTCTCCCCACCCTGTGCTGTCCCTGCAGTGACGCATGGAGGTGGGTGTGCAGATGGGGACCTGGCCCTCATGGGTTCTGCTCTTTCTGCCCTGCCTCACCTGGTGCTCATTTCTTCCTTGTCTGTGGGCTCTTTCCCCACAGGTGTCTGGTTAGGGAGACCAGCGAGCCCCCGGGAGAACACGTCCCCCCGCAGTTCCAGAATTTGTGTGTATAGTGGGCCAGCTGTGTTCTTCTGCCAGAGGTCATTGTGTTGGGAGCTCCTCTTCGGTAGACTGACCCTTCTGACCCCCACTGTGCAGACACGCATGCACACACACACGCATGCACATACGCGGTAAGTGCATGCTCGTGCCTACACGCACACATCCAGCCTTCCACACACAGCCTTGTGCGCACACAACCTTTCACATGCGTATGCACATGTACATGCGTCCGATGTGGCCGCAGACAGTGGGGCTTCGTCCCTGGTGACAGCTGGGGCACTGCTGTGTCCTACCCCAGCCGTCCTCAGCCTGGAGCTCATGCGGTTGGTGTCTCCCCACAGTGGTGTCCATGGGCTCTGCAGACCATCAGTTCAACCTCGTAGAGATCCTGTCCCAGAACTACGGCATCCGAGAGGAGTGTGAGCAGGCCACGGGAGACGCGGAGAAGCCCGAGGGGGAGCTGGAGAAGGACTTCATCTCCCAGGTACTTGGCTGAGCTGGTCCCCCCGCCCCTGTGCGTGTGGAGCCCCCTGGGCAAGGTCACAGTTTCTTCATTTGGCTGAACCCGGCTGCTCAGGTTTCACAGGGATAAGTACTGCCTGTGTGTCTGTGAAGCGCCAGGCACTCTGCGAGGAGCTGAGGTCACAGGTGTCGGGCCAGACCTGCCCCCGCCTCTGGGGCTTTAGGGCTCTGTTTTCTCTTTTTGGCCTAAGAACCCCCTTTATGTTCTTAGAAAGTATTGAGGATTTCGGAGAGCCTTGTGTGGGTTATACAGTAAACGCGTTGTTAGTAGAAATAATAAATGTTTACAAAAATGGAAAAATAACAGGGGTGCCTGGATGGTGCAGTCAGTTAAGCATCTGACTCTTGATTTTGGCTCGTGCCCCGATCCCAGGGTCCTGGGATTGAGCCCCATGTCGGGCTCACTGCTTAGTGGGTAGTGTGCTTCTCCCTCTGCTCCTCCCCCTGTGCGCACACGCTGTCTCTCTCTGAAGTAAATAATTTTAAAGAGTGAAAAAATTACTTAAAAAAAAAAAGATTTGGGATCCCTGGGTGGCGCAGCGGTTTGGCGCCTGCCTTTGGCCCAGGGCGCGATCCTGGAGACCCGGGATCGAATCCCACATCGGGCTCCCGGTGCATGGAGCCTGCTTCTCCCTCTGCCTGTGTCTCTGCCTCTCTCTCTCTCTCTCTCTCTGACTATCATAAATAAATAAAAATTTAAAAAAAAAAAAAGATTTTATTTATGCATGGGGGCGTGGCGCAGAGATAGAGGCAGAGGGAGAAGCAGGCCCCATGCAGGGAGCCCGATGCAGGACTTGATCCCGGGACTCCGGGGTCACGCCTCGGGCTGAAGGTGGTGCTAAACCGCTGGGCCACCTGGGCTGCCCAAAAAATAACTTTTATTTATTTTTTTTTTAATTTTTTTTTTTTTTAAACGAAAACAGGTGGGGGGCTCCTGGGTGGTGTAGTCAGTCGAGTGTCCAGCCCTTGGTTTCAGTTCTGGTTTGATCTCGTGGTGGTGGGATTGAGCCCCGCATCTGGCTGTGCACTCGGTGGGGGTCCGAGTGGGATTCTCTCTCCCTCTCCCCGTGACCGCCACATTCTTTCTCTCTACCTCCCTCTCTTTCTCCCTCTCTCTGGCGTAAATAAATAAATCTTAAAGAAAACCCAAAACAGGTTGGGGCGGAGAGTGGAATAGCTCTATGTTTCTGTCGATGCAGAAGGTGGAAGCAGGAACGGGAACCCAGCTGCTGTCGTTACGGCCGCCTTTAACCCGTTGTGATGTGTTCTTCTGGTGCAAGTACAAGTCTGTTCTTGAGAGAGGGGCGGGTGCTAACAACCTTTTCAGATGATTGTGGACGTTCCTTGATGCGGCACCCAAATGCAGTAAGAGGTAGTTTTGTGCAGGGTGGTTGCGGAGCGGCTTCTACAACCACGTCCTGTGCACGGTCACGGTGGAACCGTTGGTGGTGACCCTGGAGTGGCTCTTGCCTGCTGTGTGGTCTTTTACCTTCTGCATGTGACGTGTGTGCAACAGACTGTTTCTCCAGCTCACACGTCTCGCAAATGTACGTTCTCACGGCACAATCGAAGAAACCCACTTGTTCATACCAGAGGTGGGAGGGTGGGGTAAGCAGCCTTGTGGGGCCAGGGTCAGGCCGGCTGTTCCTGCCCAGGCCCCTCGTTGGCCTGCGGTGGCTGCCTCCCCTCAGTCCTCGCGTGGCGAGAGCGAGTGTGTGGCCTGGGGCTCCGGAAGCACCTCATCCTGTTGGATCAGAGCCCCTTCCTCACATCGTTCCGCAAAGGTCCATGTCCACGTACAGTCACGCTGGGTGTTGGACATCGTCAGCACTGATGTCATCAACTGTCTTTCAAGTATTGGGAAAGTTTTTTTTTAAAGCAGGAATCACGGGGCATTTACCTGGTTTGGTGCCAAGTGTCTCTTGGTGCCAGTTTGGTCTTAAAACCAAAGACAAAAGTCCACTCTTTAAAAAAGAAAAAACAATCTAAAAAAGTTTAACGTGAATATAAAATGTTTCAAAGTAACCAAAAACTAAAATCATCCACGTATTAGTTAAATACCTGATCTAGGTTTCCTTCAAATACAGTTTTTAAAACCTGATTAAGGTTAGAGAAATGCAAAGGCCATGTGATCTCATATGTGGAATTTAAGGAACAAAACAGCAACAGAGGGGAAGGGACGGAAAACTAAAATAAGACGAAATCAGAGAGAGACAAACCATGAGACCCTGAGCTCTGGGAACAGACTGAGGGGGCCGCTGGGGGGATGGGGCCTCGGAGGGTGGTCGCCACGGGGGCGCCCGATGGGATGAGCGCCGCGAGGTCTCTGCACCTGCGGACTCACTGGGCGCTGCCCCCGAAACCAGGGCTGCAGTGTGTTAACTACTTTGGATTTAACTTAAAATAAAAACTGATAAAGAGAGAACACCACGTCCGGGGTAAAAGCAGGAGCGCTGCCATGTCGTGTTACGTTGCCAGCCCGTCCCACAGATCGTCAGGCTCACGTTGTTAGATCCAGACTTTCCAGTATTACAGTTTTTTGCTCAAACACCGGAGTTTTACTGCGGCCGCGAGCACAGTCCGTGGTCTGGAGGGGGCGGCTGGCATGGCTCGGGTCCGAGTCGTCTGTCCTCACCGGCCCCGTCCGCGGGCACAGAGCAGAGCCGTGTGGTGGCCCTGACGGCCCCGCGCATGCCCTCCCCTTGGGGTGTGGCAGGCAGGTGCTCACGTGCTCCCCGAGCCTCACGTGGAAAATTAACGTGTGCCCTGAGAGACTTAAAGGAGCGGTTAGCCCAGGGTGCCCGTAAGGGAAGGTGGCATGTTTACCCCCACGGGCCGCGAGGGGGCCGCTGTAAGGTCTGTGCCTGGCGGTGCCCTGGGTCCCCCCGCGTGCAGCCCAGCGGGCCCGGAGAGGACGTGGTCCGGGGTCCCAGGTCCCAGTGTCAGTCCCCCGGCACACGCACAGGTGGAAACTCGGTGGGCGCAGCCACCGTGCCTGTCGGTGGGGAGGGCGTGAGGGAGGCCGGGTGCTGGCCGCTGGGGAGACACGGATGTCGGAGGCTCGTGAGACCTGCGGGCCAGGACACGTCGCAGCCACACGGCGCTGCTGCTGGGCCTGGAGGGACCAGCGTGCGCAGCGGTGACCTGGGCGCAGAACCGGGAGGATGCCAGGTCGCCGGTGTCTTCCTTCCCAGTGTGTCTCGTTTGCCGCCGGCGCCAGGGCGCTTGGCCTCCGCCCCCCCCCCCCCCAGCCGCTGTGGTGGGGCTGCTCCGCGGGCGAGGCCGCCGGCTACTGGGCACCGATGCCTGGACCCCGCCTCTGTCCGGGTACGGGGCGTTTTCATCAGAAGCAGACGTTGCAGCTCACCAGATCCTTCCTTCACGGTCGCCAGGATGGGCCCGTTGTCCCCCTTATGACACGTCAGCAGCCGTGGCGGAGGATTGAGGAGTCGAGGCATCCCATGTGCTGGGGCGCCCCCCGGCCGCCGGTCCTGGCCCTGTCCCGCCAGGCTGCAGCCTCGGGCTCACCGCGGACTGTCTGGGCGCAAGGGGTCTCGTCCGCCTCTGGGGGTGTGGGGGGGAGGGGCTGGGGCCCGGCTGCGGGCAGCACTGCTCGCAGCGGCCACGCGGTTCCGGATGCCTGAGCAGCCCCCTGACACGGCCCTGCCCCTGCAGAGCAGCGACATGCCCCTCGACGAGCTGCTCGCCCTCTACGGCTATGAGGCCTCAGACCCCATCTCGGAGCAGGGCAGCGAGAGCAGCGACACCACGGCCAACCTCCCGGACATGACGCTGGACAAGGTGAGTGGGGGGGGTGGGGTCGGGCCCGGTCACCCAGCCGAGCCGCTGGCCAAAGCCACCACGGTGGGCGCTGGAGGAGGGACGGAGCGGACAGCGGCGTGGAGACGTGCCGCCTGGTTCCCCTGGGCGGTCACGGGGTGGGCTGGGTCCCCGTGGTGGACACCGCATGCTCCATGGACGGGGTGGCCCTGGCTGGCCTGCCCTGGGCCTGGTCCCCCCGTCGGCGCAGGAGCTCCCACAGCATGTGCGGGGCGGGGCTGCGTGTCCGTCATGCCTCGGCGCGCCTGAAATTGCCGTCATCAGGTGTCCTCCTGAGACGGTCGAAACAAACCAAAAACGTGTTCTTTGCTTTCTCGTTAAAAGGAACAAATAGCAAAGGATTTGCTCTCAGGGGAAGAAGAGGAAGAGACACAGTCGTCGGCCGATGACCTTACCCCGTCCGTGACCTCCCACGAGGCCTCCGACCTGTTTCCTAACCGGAGCACATGTAGGTGTGCCCTGCCCCTCCACATGGGCTGGCCAGAGGCTCGGGATGCAGACGGTGGGGCCCTCTGCGAGCTGAGACTCCGCGGTGCTGGATGCAAGGGGGGAGCGGGTCGGTGCCTGTGGCTGAAAGTGTCAGACCTGGGGCCGCGCCCTGAGGCTGGCCTGGGAGGCCCCGGGAGGCCAGGCAGCGGACGGCGTGGGGTGGGGGGCTTGGTGGGTTAGCGGCTGCTGGGGGGGAGGTGCCTGCGGCCCCCGGCCTGGCCCGTCATGCACCCGTCATCGGCCAGGTGTGGGTCACACTCCCTGCAGGAAAGGCCGGTGGGGGGGCAGGTGGTCGGGGAGTCGGGGCGGGTGCAGGCAGCGGCGCCCCAGAGCCCGCGAGCCAGGGTGGGCCACCTGCTGCCCCGGGCGCACCTCAGCTGCCCACCTTCCCCCGCAGCCTGCTTCCTGGCCAACGCAGACAAAGAGCCTGGCTCCTCCGCTTCATCCGACACGGAGGAGGACCCCCTTCCTGCCAACAAGTGTAAGAAGGTGAGCGGCTCCGACCCAGTGGACGGCGGGCACAGGTCTGTGCGTTGGTCCCGGGAGCTGAGCTGGGCCGGGCCGGGGCTGGAATGTGCTCTCGGGAGCTGAGACCTCGGTGCTGCTCTCCCTGTGACGGGGCCCGAGGTCCTGTCCGGGAGCCTGGGGCTGGACCGCGGAAGCCCGGGTGCTCGCGCCTCGCCTCCCTTGCTGCGTGGCCGGCTGTACCAGGTGGCAGGTGGGGTGTGGACACAGCCGCTCGCACCCACACGTGCCTGCCTCTGCGTCGCGTGCTCCGGGCCACAGGACTTGGTGTCTGGGCAGATGGCCTGGATGAGCCCTGGGAGCCGGGCAGCCGCCCTGGGGCCCTCGTCAGCCCTGAGCATCTGGGGCCTCTTCCTTGCAGGAAATCATGGTGGGGCCTCAGTTCCAAGCCGACCTCAGCGGCCTGCAGTTGGAGCGCCACGGTGAGAAACGTAAGTGGGGCGGGGTGAGCGTGGGACACGGGGGCAGGAGGAACGAGACCCCGTGCAGCCAGGAGAGCTGCTGTGTGCCCCCTAGGGCCAGCTCCCCAGTCCTTGCAGGGCACTTGGGGCCCAGGCCGGGGCCGGAGGAGGTGGACGTCCCCTCCCTGCCGGGAGGCCCTCCTGCATGGCCAGCACCCACTGCCCTCGGCTCGTCTGCCCTCTCGCTCCTCCCTTCCTGCCCACAGCCCTGTCCTTGCCTCACCAGGCTGCACGCCTTTCCCCCCCAGCTCCTCCCGTGTCCGGGCCTCGTCCCAGGTGTCCTCCCGAGACCAGCGTGTCTCTGCCCGGCGTGGTTCTTCAGGGCACGCACTGTCCGGACTGGACGTCTGTCTGTCCTCCGTCCCCCTAGAACACGGAGGGGGCCGGTTGTCCTTTGAGACAGGCATTGCCACCTGCACTTACAGGTGAAGGGAACGGGACGTGAAGTCCCCTGGCTGTGGGCCCAGCCCTGTTTCCTGTGGCCAGGCTGGCACCCCGGGGTCAGGAGTGTCTCCCAGGAGGAGTCAGTGGCTGAGGCTGGCCGTGAGGTGCGGCCAACAGAGGAGGCGGGGACTCGGGGCTGGACGCTGGGTCGTGGGGTCCGCGTGTGCTCGCCCTGCGGTGAGCGGAGCCGACAGGAGCGGGACAGCTGGGTTGGTGGAGGGGACACAGGAGACCCTCCTCCAGGAGAGGCCCCGGTGCAGCCACGGCCGTAGGAAGTGTGGCCTCTGGGCCCCTTCCTCCTCCTCTTCCTCTTCCACGAGCCACGCGCCTGCGCCCGGGGAGCGGCTGGGCCTTGGTCCCGAGGGCTGGGGGCTGGCTCTCCCTCCGCCGCGCCGCACACCCCGGAGGTGGAATCCACGCGTGTGGACGTGGCCTTTGTGTGCCGTGTGCCTCTTCCTGGCGCGAACGGAGGGTTGGTCGGTGTTAGGGTTTCCGTGTGTGGCTGCGGCGTGTGTGCGCGTCTGTCCGTGGACGGATGGCTGGGAGCCGCCCCCGGAGCCACACGTGGGAGCCGCTGTTGCCGTGCGTCCTCGTGCGTGGGACGCCGTCTGTGCTGGTGAATTTAGCTCCCGTGGCGGGAGAGGAGCAGCGTCCGAGGGAGGGGGTCCGTGTCCTGGCCGCTTGCGGGACTCCTGTGCGGCCCTGCCCAGCCTTCCCCTCGTGTTTACGCTGCGTTCGTTTCTCTTTGACCCGCGGGCATCCCTGTGGCGTTCCGGATGCGGGTCCCTCGCCTGCTGTGTTCTCCGGCACGGCCGCGTCCCCCGGGGTGCCGAGGTCTGGGTTGTCCGCGTCTGTCCTGACCACACCGTGAAGCTCAGTGGAGCCGTTCCCTCAGCGTCCCGGTCACGTGCGACTTCGGCGACTGTTGCGTGCTGTTGGACATGCGGGTCGGCGGTGGGCGCTGCGCTGGCGTCGCACCTGGAGCCTGCCACGCTCGTGGGACCCTGGCTGTCACTGCTGTGGTGGCTGGGAGCCAAGTGCGCGGTGACACCTGTCCTCCCGCCTCGTCGTCCGGCCTCGTGGCCGCTCACACGTCGAGTAGTCGCACCAAATCCTCAGTTTCGTTTGTGGAGACGTGCGGATCCCGTCCTGAGACCAGCGGGGTATCTGTGGCGTCGGTGCCGTCACAGGAGACATTGTGAAAAATTTGGCCTCTCCTTGGTTTCCGTCAGTAGAAATGCAGGTTGTTGCTTGAAGCAGCCTCGTGTCCTGGACTGAGCTCCACGGGGTCAGGAGATGCCGTCTGGCGACCTGCGTGCGGTCCCTGCTCGCTGCCGAGAACCACGTGGGGCCTGCGGTGGCGCCCGGGGGCCCAGAGGACGGGGCCAGCTGCTCCCAGGGCCGGGGCGCAGGTGCGTGCCCCAACGTGACCCCGGCCCTCCCTCCCGCAGTCTACGAGAATGAGGACCAGCTGCTCTGGGACCCCAACGTCCTCCCTGAGAGGGAAGTAGAGGAGTTCCTGTACCGGGCGGTGAAGCGGAGGTGGCACGAGATGGCTGGGTCGCAGCTTCCGGAGGGAGAGGTGGTGAAAGACAGCGAGCAGGTGGGGCCGCCAGCAGGGTGAGGAGGGCCCTGGGGTCGGAGGTCGCCAGGGGCCGCAGGGGCCGCGGGGCAGGGGGCTCGGGCTCAGGCGGGGAGGGGTGTGGGGAATGGAAAGGCCCCGGGGCGGAGGGCGGGCCATCAGGCCCTGTCCCGTGCACACGAGCTGGCAGATTGAAACAGGAAACCGTGGCTAAGGGGGAGGTGGTGAGACCCTCCAGCCCCACCCTGGGTGCGGTGAGCGCCTCTGCTGTTACCTGGGGGCGGGCGGGGTGAGGAGGGCCGGTGGGAAGTCCGTGTGGCTCCCCAGGCGCTTTACGAGCTGGTGAAGTGCAACTTCAACGCGGAGGAAGCCCTGCGGAGGCTGCGGTTCAACGTGAAGGTGATCCGAGGTGAGTGCGGCCTCGGCCTTCCCCGCCCGGCTGCTGCGTGTCCGGGCGCCGTGGTGCCACCTTCCTTCCTCCCGCCTGCAGATGGGTTTTGCGCGTGGAGCGAGGAGGAGTGCAGGAACTTTGAGCACGGCTTCCGAGTGCACGGGAAGAACTTCCATCTGATCCAGGCCAACAAGGTGAGGATGCGGCTCCCGTGTGGCTCGGCACCTGCAGCCCATCGTAGGCCTGGGTCCACCTCACGGGCTCAGCGCAGCCCCCCAGCTCGGCGCAGCCCCGGGCCGCTGCCGGTCTCCACACATCTGAGTGCAGGACTCCCAGGGGACCCCGGGCCACAGCCTGGGGCATCTGCCCCGCGTTCCCGTCCCCCACCGGGGCTCCCGCCCCGCCCACCCCCACCCCGGGCTGCTCTGGGCTGGAAGCCCTGGCTCCTCGCTGCTCACGGGGCTCTCGGGCCCTGGGAGGGCCGGGCTGACACCGGGCGCCCCTTCGGGTGGGAGTGAACACGGTGTCTGCTTGGGGCGGGCGTGGGACGGGCGGCCTTCAGCTGACGGTGCCCGGAGCTGTGCCCAGCAGTGGTGACTCGCCAGGCCCGTGCCTGTCGGCCTGAGCAGGTTCCCAGCACGGCCTTGGCCGCTCCGTAAGCACGTGGCCGCAGCCCTTGTGCCCCTGTGCCCGGCCTGCCGGTGGCAGCCTCCCTCCCCACGCGCTCCGGCTTCCGCTGGAACTTGAGCCGCTGGCACGATGGAGGCGCAGAGGGGTCTCCTGGAGCAGAGCCGACGGTGCATGTGCTCCTGTCCCCGCCGCCTTCCAGACCCGCCCCCGGAGCAGGGTCAGGCCCCTCCTGGTGAACAGCGCGGGGGCTCCGGTGCCGTCGCCGGCGATGGGGCTGCCGGGCGGCCCCCACGTCCTGATGACAGGCCATAAAGAGCGTTTCTCTAGTGGAAGCGTAGCGGACCCACGAGGTCGTGTTGGTGTGAGGCGTGCGGTGGAGGTACAGACTTGGGGTGAGCCCGCGGTCAGTGCCCACCTCCTCCGTGTGCGCACTCGGGCCCTGGCGTTACACCCGGTCGTGGACGCTGTGCCCTGTGACGCTCCTCGTCTCTGTGGTTTATTCTTACAACACGAGAGGTTACGTCGGACGTGGGGAGCCACCTGCCTGCTGGACGCGGGTCTGGGGCACCCGGTCTCCCCGGGGCACTTTACATGTGAGAGTTTCTGGGTTTTTGTATCTCATTGTAAATGACAACCTTGAGCCGGGGTCAAGCCTGTGCCGTGTCCTCTCACGGAGCCCTGTTTGCACATGTGGGCAGCTCCGCGCTGGCGTGTAACCGACCGTCTGCACCTAGCGGGCGACGCGGCTTGCGTCATCCCTGCTGGGCCTGCAAGGGGCAGGGCTGCCGCTGGTGTGGGCACGGTGGTCTGGGGCGCGGGGGGCAGGCCCGACGTGGGAACAGGGTTCAGCTCCGCACCCGTAGGTGGTGCCGCCCTGCTTGAGGCGGGAGGGTGTGCTCAGCGGGCAGCGGCCTCAGCTGTGTCCGGGCGCTGCTGCTCCCGGAGGCAGAGGCCACCCCTGTGCTGTCCGTCCGCAGGTGCGCACGCGGTCTGTGGGCGAGTGCGTGGAGTACTACTACCTGTGGAAGAAGTCCGAGCGCTACGACTACTTCTCGCAGCAGACGCGGCTGGGCCGGAGGAAATACGGCCCGTCCGGAGCCACGTGTGTGCCGCGGGCTCCCTGGGGCCCCGTGGGGGGGGTGTCGGGCCTCCCACTGCCCTTCACAGCGCTCTGCCCCACAGGGACGCAGACCAGGACCTGGACGGCAGCGACCCCGACGGCGCAGGCCGCCCCCGCTCCTCGCCGCCTCTGCCCCCTGCTGCCGACGGCCTGGCCTCTGAGCAGGACCCGCTGGCGCGGATGCACACAGGTGAGAGTGCGGGCAGGTGCCTGCTCTTGGGGGAGGCCTGACCTGGGCCCCCAGGGCTGACGGGCGGGCAGGGGCCGATGCCTCCCCGCCCCAGAGACTTGGGCCTGGGGCATCACCCACGCGCGGCCACGGGGACGTGCTGCCTCGTCGCATGGAGGGGACAGTGTGTGTCCAGGGCTCCCTGGCAACCGGGTCCAGGGCCCCACAGACCCAAGACATGGCCTGGCCGGGCACTGGAGGCCCTGGCGGGAACCGCGGGGATGGGGACGAGGACCTTGGTTCAGAGTCTCCTGTGCTCCGGGGTGTGCGTTGTCCTTTGTTCCAGACTCTGGTTGGTTTGTGGTTTGGAACCAGGAACCACATCCACGGCCTTCTGGGCCGAATCACGCACCTGTGTGCAGAGGCTTCTCGAATTCCACGTCTGTCTGTACCTTGCCGTGTTTTCCAGCGTGTCTTACTCTGTTTTGTCGTTTCTTTCTCTTAATTTCTTTGAGCCTGTCACGTGCTGGTCTTGGTTAAGAGGCGGGGTGACGACCGGCCAGTCGAGGGCCGTTGGGCCAGGCGCACAGTTTGAGTGTGAGCGTGTGTGTGTGACGTGTGTGAAGACGCCGAGTGCGGAGGGTCCGCGGCAGGGGCACACGGTGTAGCCCGAGGCCCGGGGCGCCTTGCGGGGCGGCCCCAGGTCCCAATAGGGCCGGCGCGGGTGCCCTAGGGGCCGGGCCTCAGCTGTGTTCTCCCCCGCAGAGCCGCTGAGCGTAGACAGCGCGGCCGGCAGTGTCGGTGAGCCCGGGGAGAGCTCCGACAGCCTCCCGTCCTCGGAGCCGGGGCCTTGTCCCTTCCAGCAGCTGGACAGCCCTCCAGCCGCGTCCCTGCCCAGGCGGCCCCCAGCCCTGGCCGAGCCCGCCTTCTACCCCCCGGCCACGGCCACCCCGGAGCCCAGCAGCAGCCCGAGACTGGCTGTGGACTTGGCCCTGCCGGGGGCCCTCCCCGAGGAGCTGCCCCTCATCTCCAGCCACGCGGACATGAACGGAGAGCCCGAGGAGGCCGTGGCCCCGGCACAGGTGGCCTTGTCGGTCACCGAGTTTGGACTCATCGGCATTGGGGACGTGAATCCCTTCCTGGCCGCCCACCCAGCGTGCCCGGCCCCCGGGCTGCACTCGGAGCCCCTGTCACAGTGAGTGCGGCCCCTGCCCCGTCCCTGTGCCCCCCTGTGCCCCCCGCTGCGCCCCCGCTGTGCCCCCTGCTGCACCCCCAGCCTCCGGCTGAGCGGTGGGGAGGGGAGGGGAGTGCCCCGAGGGCCCGAGGATGGCGTGGCCGCAAGGAGCAGGCTCTGTTGGTTTCTTTACTTTTATTCTCTACTTTTAATTTGGCTTATTTATTTTTTTGACTAGGTAAATCATTCATATGGTTCAAAATCCAAAAAGGTACAAACGGGGCCAGTGCCAGGCTCCTCCCACCCCTGCCCCAGCCACCAGCCCTCCCCAGGCGCCAAGGACAGTGCTGCCTGGGGGAGCCTGTCAGCCAGCACGAGTGACGTCACGGTCTGCTGGGGGAGGCGAGGTCGGGAGCCACGGCGTCGGCACCAGGCCGTGCGGTGTGTGGGGCCGCACTGACCCTCTCTCGGTCTCTCCTCCTGCAGCTGTAACGTGATGACCTGTTGATCCCTGGCCGCGGGCGGGCGTGCGTGGCCCGGACTGGATGTGGGGCCGCCGCGGGCCCGCCTCTGCCAGTCTTCCCGACCCCCCCCTCTCCGCCTGGGCCTCGGGTCACGCCTCCTCTGCTTCAGAACACGTCACGGACGGGGTGAGCGGTGGCCGGGCCGCTGCCCTGCCCTCCTCACACACAGACTGGCGCCCTCAGTGCCCGCCCCGCCGCCCGCGCGGCCCAGGCTGCTGCTCCACCCGCAGGACCCGTCGGGCAGCCGGATGCGGAGGGCCCAGCCCCGTCCAGCCAGCAGAGGCGAGGAAGGTGTCCCCGCCCCGCCGGGAGGTGGGCCGATGGGGCAGGATGCCGCCCCCACCAGCAGCCTCGGTCCGGGGCGCCCTCAGCACTCCGCCCGGGGGTGGGGGCAGCTGCTACTCGGTGCCAAACCCCGTGGGGCACAGAGCCATATACCTCGACGTCGGCCCCGCCCGCCCTCAACCTCCACCCTGCTCTCCACTTCAGGAAACGCCGCACTTTACGCCCCTCTTGCCTCCTCCTGTCTCCGGCCCGGAGCAGCCTCGGGTGTGGGGTCGAGGAGACGGGTGACCTGCACCCCCTTGGGTACCGAGGCGCTCTTGCCTGCAGCACCGAGGGGCCGGCCCCAGTCCGTTCCCCTGACCCCGTGGGTCATACTTCTGTTGAAGCGCCCCAGCAAGGTGGTTTGGGGGCCCGGTCCTTCTCTTTCCAGCTTCCCTAGTTTTATTTATGTTTCTGTTTACAAATTGGAGTGGGGTCCTCCGCGGGGCCAGGGCAGCGCTCCCCAACCCCCGGGTGTCACCAGGAGAGGGTTTTGGCTCGAGCCCGCCTGCAGCGTCGGCCTCGACCTTCCCTCACCCCACCAAGGACCACACTGTGAAGTGCTAACTGCCTTGAATCCCTTGCTGTTTTATTTATTAAACTTGATTTGAAGCCCACAGGTGCCTTGTGGTAGATGGGGAGGACGGGGTGAGGAGGTGCGGGGGCTGCTGCTCACTCGCGGACCCCGTGACCTGGGCTCCACTGTGGCCCACACGGGGCTGCGGGGGCGGCCAAGGACAGCAGCCGCAGTGCCGGGAGGAGGCCCCGGGGAGAGGCTGGGGGGACGGGTGGGAGGGTTCTGGGTCGGGGCCCTGGAGGGGGGGCTCGAGGCCACAGTTTATAGTTGCCTGTGTTGGCTGCACAGGGGAGGGGGCAGGAGACACTGTGTGTGGGGGGTGCTGCCTGGTGGGAGGGGCAGGGGACCCTGGTGGGCAGCCTGGTGGAGGGGGCAGGAGGCCACACTGCAGGGCTGGGTTTCCAGTGTTGGGGTCAGGGGTGCGGGCGCGTGGGTGATGGCAGGGCGTCCAGACGGTCGGGTGGAGGATTTGCTTCGGTTCCCTCGCTTCTCCAGAGGCGTCGCCCGCGGCCCCCCCCTCCCCTGCAGCAGACACCTGCGTGCGCCAGTGTGTTTTTTACCCTGCGTTTGGAGATTATGTTTCATCTGTTTTTTGCCTTCCTGTCCACGATGGGTCCCCTGTCCTGTCGCGGGAAGCGTCGGCCGCTTGCTGGCTGTCACCTGCACCCTGGGATGCGAGGCGTCTTGCTCCGCAGGGCAGAGGCCTAGACACACGCCACGAGGCTGCGTAGGCCGCGGCCCCGCGCCCTGGGAACAGACCCGAGGGCGTTGGCCTTTTCTGGAGAAATCCGCGACGACTGCGCAGTGTCACCGCGTGGAGACCCGAGACGGGCCTCCTGGCTGCTTTGGAGCCTTGGTCGGGGCCTCGGTGTGTCCACGCCGCGTGGCCTTCACAGCCACAGAGGATTCCAGGTTGACTTTGAACACTTTAAATATGTTTCATTGACTCCTGGTTTCTGTCGTTTCCTGTTTCTCCAGGCAGGGCGTGCCTGTCCCCTCCAAGGGGGCCTCGGTTTCGTGTTTGGCACCAGCAGGTTGGTTGGGACGCACTTCGGTGCGGCGTTGACGGGGAGCCGCTGGGCGGAGGGCTGGGGCCTTTCCGGAGACGGGGCCGTCGTTGCCCTGACGTCTCCGCTGGTCTCCGCTGCGCCCCAGTGTCTGGCTGCGCGAGCTGGTGCCGCCCTCCCGGGAGCCCTGAGCAGCTGTTGCGCCCCGGGTGGGCCGGTCCCTGTGCTCTTGAAGTCACATCATGTATGCTCTGGTTCTAGTATTTGTACTTGGCTTTTTCCATTTTTCTTCTGAAATTCTTCATTTTCTACCTTTTCCTGTAGAAATTAACCTTTTTGTAACCGTTACCTGAATCTTCACTGTTTCTGCCGGCGCTCATTTCTAGAGACGCTTCTGTGAACTGTTTTCCCCTGGATCCCGGGTCCCCGCGTCTCCAGTGTCGCTTGTTGTGTCCGAACGAGTCGTTTTCGTCGCGTTGGTGTGGACGCACGCAGGCCCGGCCGGGCTGTGCTGTGACCGGGGCGGCGGGGCCTGCCTTCGTGGGAACCTTGTCGTGTGGTCCCTGTGGGAGCGCGCATCTCCCCGGGAGCTCCCGCAGGAGCCCTTGAAGGAGACTCGTTACCACGCCTGTGTCGTGCCTGGGACTGAACCGGGGACTGAGTGGCCAGCCCTGGGTCAGCTGCTCACCCACAGAGGCAGGGCCGGCCTCCCAGGGAGCAGCCGGGCAGCCCGGGTGGGAGGGGCAGGAGCACGGGGCACGGGGCCACGGAAGGGGCCCTAAGGCTGAAGGGCGAAGGCAAGTCTCGCCCCCTCTCAGCCAGGAATGCGAGGGCGTTGGGAGGTCGCAGGAGTGGACTTGGGCTTTGGGGAGACTGGCTGGGAGTCGCTATCGGGGCAGTGCTGGTTGGGGGGTGCAGCAGGGGGAGCCCTCTCCGTGGAGAAGGAAGCAGCTCACACTCTCTGGCCACGACTCCATGGGCTGGGGGGGCCTGGAGCAGTGGTTGCCCTGATAACCTCAGGCTGTGGGTGTGCAATCCTTCCTGATCACTAGGCCGTGTTTCCTTCAGTCCACGTCGACTGGGTGCCTGCTGGGTGCTGGGTGCTGGCCGCTGGCCCTGGAGCTCAGGGCGGGGGACAGGGATGATAAGCAGACACAGGAACGGTGCCAGAGCTTAAAGGAGGCCGTGGACACGGTGTGTGGGGGCAGTCGGTGGCCTGCGTGGATCCGGAATTCACTGATGCTACATTGTGACTTGAAGGGGACCCCGAGTACCTGCTCCACCGTTTCATGGCCCCTTAACCCTCCAGCGGTGCTTCCTGAGTTGGGCTCCCGGTCAGGCAGTTGAGTACAAACTCAGGGCGGAGGTACCCTCCCACGGACATGCAGGTGGAGAGACTGAGGCAGCAGGCCGACTCCAGGACCCTGAGCAGGGGATAAAGCCCCAAGAACTCCCAGTGTGGCCTCTCTGAGCCCCAGGAGTAGGCTTCTAAGTAATCTTTACACCCACGTGGGGCTGGAACTTAGCCCTCAGGGAAGTACAGAAAGAGCCAAGAATGCTGCACTCAGGGGCACCTACTGTGTGCCAGGCGCTGTCTGCCCCCCTCCCACGCATCTCTCCCCAGTCTTCACTGTATTGGAGACAAAGGCACCGGGAGCCCATCAGGTGGACGGGAACTAATGCCTCTGAGCCCTGAGCTCCACTCCCTGGTGGATCTAGGGGACTAACCCTAACCCTGGTGTCCAGGGGACCGGCCGGGGGCTCAGTCTGCCCCTGCAGGTGCAGGAGGAGCTCTCGGGATCTGGCTCCCAGGAGCAGGCCTCGCCAGCCTCAGGCGCGCTCTGTAAAGGGTTAAAGCAGACTCCAAGTGTGAAGACTCCCTGAAATGTGGGGGACCCCAGCCAGCAGACGCAGGAGCCCTGACCCCAATCCTAATCCTTGCTGTCCTCTTTAGAGTTTAATCCTGACCCTGCCCAGGTATTTAGGGACAGGGTAAGATTGAGGTCAGTGGGGGAGGGCAGGTGGCCACACTGTTGCTCCGGCCACGCTTCTCCCAGCTAAACAGGCGGCGCTGCTTCCCACCCAGGGTCTCTGCCCACAGGAGCCTCCCCTGGAGACCCGGGGCCCAGCCACAGCCCCCCCACCCCGCATCATGCCACGTCCCCTCCGTGGGCTGCCCCTGGCGATCTCCCTGGCCAGCACACAGTAGGTGCTCAGTAGGAAGCCCTCTTGACTCCAGTGCAGCCTTTCACATTCTCTACTTTAACTGAGGGTGGGTGGTCACCTTGAGCTTAAAGTGAGGAAAGTTCAGGAATACGGTCAGGTGACATTTATGTAGCATACTGCTGGGTGTCCTGGATGCCGTCCGCATGTCACTCATCAGGCAATTCTCAAAGAACCCACGATCCATTACGGGCTGCACGAGTGAGTGAATGGATGGACGGAGGGAGCTGGAGCCTGGGACCTGCTTCCCCTGGGGTCCGTCCTGCTCCGAGTGGCGGCCAGAAAGCCAGTGAGCAGCGCCCGGCTGGAGTGGGAGAAACGCCGGATCCAGCTGAGCCTGAAACTGGACCCTGAGGCAGCCCCACCCCCGGCCAGACTGGAAAAACCCTCCAGCCGGGGAGTAAAGCTGAGTCTCCCGCCGCCTCCGCCTCGAGGGAGTCCAGTGACTCCTGCGGCAGGAGGAAGCTGCGTTTTTTTTTAAGGATGTGCAACCTCCAGCCGCCCCCAACTCCTTGGCGGGTGCCGTTGGCAAGGGGGGGGGTGCTAGGGCTGTGCCTCCCACACCGTCTCTCCGCCCACACTGCGGCCGGAAAATCTGGGTCCCAGAGTTTCCATGCTGGACTTTGTCATGTCCTGGGGGTGGGCTGGGTTATTTTGAGTGCGCGTGTGGGGGTGTCTGGGGGCTGCTAAGGGGGGGAACGTTGTTTGGGGCGCACGGGAGCTGGTCCCGGACATCCCACCTCCTACTGCAGGCGTCACAGAGCCCCCGATCCGCTGTGCACTGTCCCCCGACTCCCAGCCCGGGCTCCCTCCTGGAACCCCTGCACCCTGCAAGTGTCAGTGGGGCCGAGCTGAAGCCCCAGCGGCCTGACCTTGGCGCAGGGCCACCTGTCTCTGGATCTGACCCCCTCATCTCTAGGAAGGGCTCAGAATCCTCCTGTTTTAGGGTCGTTGGAGGCACTGGGGCGGTGAACGTGGCTTAAGAGGTTGAGGGAGCGGGCCCTGGGCCAGGCCCCTGGGTTGAGTCCCAGCTCGGCATCTTCCCCCGCTGTGACCTTGGAGGACGGACAGTCCTTGCTGTCCTGTGTCCTGCCAGGTCAGGGCAGGGCTGATGGTGTCAGCCTAGGGTCCAGTGCCCGTGCCCGTGCCCGTGCCAGGGCCTCAGTTCTCCTGGCCTGGGCGCACGAGGGGGTGTGTGTGTGGGGCACAGACCTTCCAGCTGGTGGGCGACCCCCCCCCGCCCCCCCCCCCCCCCCGCGTTGGCTCCTGCTGGGACAGCGGGTGTGCGGGTGCCGCAGCCTGGGGGAGGCCGGGCAGGGGGAGCCCCGCATGGGAGGTCCGGGGCCCAGGAGGGAGGCGCTGGGCCTGCGACCTGCGTCCTGTCCCGCCTCCCGACCCAGGTGCCCAGAGGCGCCCCCGCAAGGGCCGCTCCCACGGGGGGCAAGGGGGGGCGCCGAGGACGAGCTCCCCCGGGGAGGGGAGGGGGAAGGAGGGGAGGCGGGAGGGGAGGGGGAAGGGGGGCCTCCCTCTTGCTCCGGCCCCTTCTCCGACTCAGCGGGGAGGGGGGGCCCTGGCCCTCAGCCTGGGGGTGGAGACATGACCCCTCCGGGCTCCCCGCTCCCCTCCCCCTTCCGCCTCCCCCCTCCCCGCGGCCCCCTCCTCCCTCCCCCTCCCCCTCCCCCTCCCCCTCCCCGCTGCGGGGCCGGGCCGGGCCGGGGCGGGGCGGGGGCAGAGTCCGCCCTCCCGAGCGGCTGCCCCGCCCGCCCGCCCGCCGCGCCCCTGCCCGCCCTCCGCGCCCCGCCCCGCCCTGGCAGGGCCTGGCTCCGCGGCCATGTGACCCCGCGGCCTGGCCGGGGCGCGACGGGACGCGCTGGGACGGGCGTCGGGGGTCGCGGGCGGGCGGGCGGGCGGGATGGGGCGCCGGTGGGTCTTCGTGCTGCTCGACGTGCTGTGCGTGCTGGTCGGTAAGCGCGGCCCGGGGCGCGGCGGCTGGGGCGGGGCGGGGCTCCTCGCGCGGGGACCCCCCCCCCCCCGGGCGCTCATCCGCGGGCGGCGGCGGGATTCGAACCCGGTCCCGGCGGGGGGACGGGGGAGGCCGGGCCGCGGGCGTCGGGCGGCCCAAACCTGCCGGGCGGGTGTGCGGGCCGGGCTGGGGGAGGGGCGCCCCAGGGTCCCGGCGACAGAGGCCGAGTGTGTGCCCCGCCGGGAGAGGGAGAGGGAGAGGAGAGGGAGAGGGGAGGGGGGAGGGGGACGGGAAGGGGAGGGGAAGGGGGAGGGGAGGGGGCCCGCCCCGCCCCGCCCCCCCCCCCCCCCCCGTTCCTGTGCTCCGCCCCGGGCCAGGCCTCCCGGGAGCCTCCTGCGAGCCGGACCCCCGCGGGGGTGGGGGTGCCCGTGCCAGCCCCAGCCCTCTACTGAGCAACTGTCCCTTACATTTAAACGTCCGTGTGGCACCTGCTGCGTGCCAGGCACAAGCGACATTGCCCGTAATCAAGCCTCCCCCACCAAGCAGCGGGGAGGTGGCTGCAGACCAGAGAGGTCCAGGCACCTGCTGGGGCTCACACAGCGGCCGCAGGCCAGTGGAGACCGGGTGGGCGCAGCCCCCGGCGCGGGGTGCTGAGGCCAGGCCCACGGCTCCCACTCTTGAGGCTTCAGCGCAGAAGCAGTTGACTTTCCTCGGGTGGCGAGGCAGCACCGAGGACAATACGGTGTATTGTGGGGGGTGATGCAAAGGCAGGGAGGTTGCGGGGTGCCCCGCCGCAAGGGCCAGAGCCAGAGCCCAGGCGCAGAGGCCCCGGTTCCATGCTGGGAGCTCCGGTTCCAGCTCAGGGTGACTAAGCCCCTGAGAGAAGTGCGGGGGACAGGAGCAGGGAGGCCAACCTGGGCACCCAGGCACCCTGCACAGCTGCGGGATGAGGCTTGAGCCAATGGCTCAGCATATTCTGGCCTGGCCCCCCCCATCCTGGAGCCCCACCTCCACCTCCACCCTGGCCCTCGCTCAGCAGCTGAGGGACCCTATGGAAACAGCTCCAAACAGGTGTCCCCCGCCTCATGGGCAGCAGGATCAGCCTTCTGGGGACCCTCCTCTGCGCCCTGGCACCAGCCCCAGCCCGGCCGCTCTGCAGGCCCAGCCCACCTCTACGCCCTGGCACCGCCACTGCCCCTGCCCGGTGCTCCTCCGCGCCCGCCCTGAACTTCCTCAGTCCCTGCAATCACCTCTCTGTGTGCCCTACCTGACAGCCCCACAGCATCCCTGACCCCGTTGCTGTTTGCTCTGGATTCTTTACCCCGACCCTCCCAGCTCCGCGGGCAGCCCTCTGCGTCCCCAGACTCCGCTCTACACTTGGTCTCCTGGGAGGAGGAGCTGGCCTTGCCGCCTCCTGTGGTATTCAGGCCTCAGAAGAGTCACACCCTTTTAGGCTTGTCACCTGCCCTGCTGAGGGCAAAGGGCACTCTGCGTGTGGCTGTCACTCTCAGCTCAGCAGGGCCCTAGGACCCCAGAGCCCTTCATTTTCCTGCCAGAACTTGTGGCTCCTGGAGACGTGGGACCGCGTCCCAGGACCCTGGGATCAGGACCTGAGCTGAGGGCGGGTGCTTCACCCGCTGAGCCTCCCAGGCGCCCCCCTTTCTTTTCAAAGATGTTTATTGACCACCTGCCCAGGCCAAGCCCTGGGAAGGCCCCGGGGACAGCCTTGAGCATATGGCACCCCCCTCCCGTGCTCAGTGACAGAGCGTCACACTCTGCATAAATACGTAGAGCGCGGGGGACCTGGAAACACATGTCCATGAAAGGCTGGACGGCGCGCAGGCTGGAGGGCAGTTAGGCAGAGACGTGTTGGGCAGTGAGGATGCCTGCCGGGTGCCGGGGGTTGTGCTTGTGGAGTTTGTTCAGGAGCAGAAAGGGGGCTGGAGGGAAGCGGGGGGGTGGGAGATGCGGGGGGCTTACGGCGGGCCCAGGAAGGTCTGGTGTTTGTCTGAGGGTGATGGGGAACCGCGAGGGGTTTTAATGGGGCAGCGCCCCCCATTTGCCGTGGGGAAGGCTCCTGCTGGCTGTCAGGTCAGTGCGGGGTGGCAGGGGGCACCCGGCCACTGGCTTCTCTCCCCTGCCCCCAGCCTCTCTGCCTTTCGCCATCCTGACGCTTGTGAACGCCCCGTACAAGCGAGGGTTCTACTGCGGGGACGACTCCATCCGGTACCCGTACCGTCCAGACACCATCACACACGGGCTCATGGCCGGGGTCACCATCACGGCCACCGTTGTCCTTGTAAGGCCGGCCAGGCTGGGCGGGCGGGCGGGCGACGGGCTGCCGGATGCTCTGGAGTTCCCGGGACCCCAGGGACCCCAGCCGACCCGGGGGCGGGAACCCTGCACCCTGAGCCCCCCGCGGCCCCGCCGCCCGGGCCCTGAGCTGTCCCCTCTGCAGGTCTCGGCCGGGGAGGCTTACCTGGTGTACACTGACCGCCTCTACTCCCGCTCCGACTTCAACAACTACGTGGCCGCCGTCTACAAGGTGCTGGGGACCTTCCTGTTCGGGGCTGCGGTGAGTCAGTCTCTGACGGATCTGGCCAAGTACATGATCGGCCGGCTGCGCCCCAACTTCCTGGCGGTGTGCGACCCTGATTGGAGCCGCGTCAACTGCTCGCTGTACGTGCAGGTGGAGAAGGTGTGCAGGGGAAGCCCCGCTAACGTCACCGAGTCCAGGTGGGTGCCGGGCCAGCAGCCCCCACTCGGGGTCATGCGGGGGCCCCAAGCCGCAGCTTCCCGCTCCCCACCCCTGGGGGAGGAGGGGGCCCTGGAGCCGGACCCTCAGGAGCTGAATGCCGAAGAGCGAGCTTCCTGCGGAGAAGGTTGAGGAGGCGACTCCCTCACTGAGCAGAGGCTGAGGTGGGGTGAGGCCCGAGGTGGGTGGGGGGTGGCTGCGGGCCTGGGTCCTGCAGACGAGAGGGCGCGGGGGCAGGGGGTGGGCCCTCTGTCCCACTTCTGCTCTGTGCTCTCACTCTGTGATAAACTCCATTGCCATTCTTATTTTCCTTTTCAAAAGATTGAAATAAAATTCACACAGCTAAAATTCACTAATTTTGCTATTTTAATGTGTACAATTCATTGATTTTTAGTAATTCACAAAGTTGTGCGGCCATCCCACTGTCTTATTCCAGAATATTTTCATCGCCCCAGAAAGAAGCTCCATGTGTATTAATCATCATTACCCAGTCGGTGCCCACCCGGCTCTTCCCCCCTCAGCCCCACTCCTGGCCCCTGCCCCCCTGCCTCCCCCCACCCCACGGCCATTCATTGTAACTATGGATCAGGAAGGCTTTCTGCTGTTTTCTGCATATTTTCTGTTTTTATGCTGACCTTTGCGTTTCTTCCGTACTGCCGCCTTTTGTTAGTTGTTGACCGTGCTAAGAGTTTATGGCCATGTGGTGCCCTTATGAGATTATTTTCACAAATTATATTTTTATACATTTTATGTTCAACAACTTAGATTTATAATTACTATTTTTTTTACGATTTTATTTATTTATTCATAGAGACAGAGAGAGAGAAGCAGAGACACAGGCAGAGGGAGAAGCAGGCTCCATGCAGGGAGCCCGATGCGGGACTTGATCCCAGGGTGCTAGGACCACGCCCTGGACCGAAATCAGGCGCTAAACTGCTGAGCTACCCGGGTATCCCTGTTTTATGCAATTTTTTAAAAATTGAGGTATAGGGCAGCCCCGGTGGCTCAGCGGTTTAGCACCTGCCTTGGCCCAGGGCATGATCCTGGGGTCCTGGGATCGAGTTCCGCATCTGGCTCCCTGCATGGAACCTGCTTCTCCCTCTGCCTGTGTGTCTGCTTCTCTCTCTCTCTCTCTCTCTCTCTCTCCGTGTGTGTGTGTCTTTCATGAGTGAATAAATAAAATCTTAAAAAAAATTGAGGGATAATTGGCTTATACCACTGTATTAATTTTAGTTGCACAATATAATGACTTGACATTTGTATTTGCCTTGAAATGATCATGACAGTAAATGTAGCCAACGTTCATCCCTGTATATGCAGTTCAAAAAAATTATCAGGAAACCCAGGAATCCTAAGCCACAGGTACTTCAGTGCAGAAGTTCGTATTGTGTAATTGCCTTGCTGGTGTCTCTCAGGTCGTTGTGTGGATTTGACTTGGTGTCTGGTACCTTTTGTTTTCCTGGAAAGACTCCCTTTTGGAATTTCTTAGAAGGCAGGTGTTTGAGCAGTGAAATCTCACTTTTTGCGTATCTGGGAATGTCTTAGTTTCTCCTTCGTTTTTAGGGGATAACTGCCAGGTGTGGGATTCTTGGTTCCTTTGAATGTGTCATCCCACTGCCTCTGGCTTCCAAGGCTTCTGATGCCAAACCGGCTGCTAATCGTACCGAGGGCCCTCGTCCAGGAGGGGTCTCCTGTCGCTGCTTGCACGGTTCTCCCTGGCGGTCCTTTGGCAGGTTGATTACACCGTGTCTGAGTTTCTCCTGCTGGAGCTCATCAAGCTGCTTTGGGGTGTCGATTAAGTTTTCGATAGGATTAGGGAGGCGTTCAGCTGTTATTTCTGCAGACACTGTCTGTGGCCCTGCCTGCCCCTCCCCTCTGGGCTCCCTCTGGGCTCCTACTGTGCAGGTGACTGCTGGTGGCTCTGGTCCCACCTCTGGTCCTCCCTTCCCTTTACTGTCTGCTCCTCCGATTGGATCATCTCTGTTGACTTGTGTCCGTGCTTGCGCTTTGCCTGCTCAGATCTGCTGGTGATCGTGCATTTCAGATTCAGCTCCAGAACGTCTCTGTCTGGTTCCTTTAGATGATCTCTGTCTCCGTCAGTATTCTCTAGTGAGACATCGCTTAGCTCTTTGGACAGATTTTTTTTTTAAGATTTTATTTATTTATTCATGAGAATACACAGAGAGGAGAGAGAGGCAGAGACACAGGCAGAGGGAGAAGCAGGCTCCATGCAGGGAGCCCAATGCGGGACCCTATCCCGGGTCTCCAGGATCACGCCCTGGGCTGAAGGCAGGCGCTAAACTGCTGAGCCACCGGGGCTGCCTCTTTGGACAGATTTTAAACGGCTCTTGAAAAGTCCTTGTCCAGCAAGTCTGGCGCCTGCATGTCCGCGGGGACAGGTTCTCTTACTAGATTTTTTTCCCCTGTGCCTTGGCCACACTTTTCCCAGCCTGCCTAGTACTAATTTGGTTGAAAACCAGGCATTTTTCATATTGTAGTGCAGCAACTCTGGGAATCGGATTGAACTCCTTGCCCCAGGGATTGTTGTTGGTGTTTGTTGCGGTTGTTGATTGGTTAGCGGCCTTTCTGCACTAGTTTTGTAAATTTTGTATTCTTTGTCATGTGTGGTCGTGAAGTTCTTTCTGATGACTAGTGGGTCGGTGGAGATTTTCTCAGACATCAGGCTCCAGGAGAAAGCTCTCGGGGTTACAGGTGGGCTCTGTGCACTGTGTTGGGGCCCTGCCTCGGGGCTTGCTCGGGCTTCCTGTGCGTGGTGCGCACCTGACGGGCAGGCAGAGGTGAGAGCGAAGGGCTTCCTTCTTGGGCTTCAGCCGCTGTGCATCTCCCCGGATGGCAGGGACAAGTGTTGGCTGTACATGTTTCAGAGCATTGCCCCAGCTAGCTGCTCAGCCCCGGGAGGGTGGGGTCCAGCTCCGCACACCGGGTCCAAACAAGCAAGCACGGTTGTGCAGAGAGGTCGGTTCTGCTCTTGGTCCGTGTGGCCCTCGTCAGTCAGGCTCTGTTCCTACCCGTGGGTTCCATGTCTCTTCAGGAGGGCCGGCCCTTTGGAGCTTCTTAGTCTGCTACATTCTCTTGTCCACTGATGTGCTTTTTGCTAAAACTTGAATTTACTTCTTGCCTCAAGTACCACAAATGGGAGATAACCCTGACATGTGGTGGTACCTGTTTGCCGGACAGAGACGTGTGCGCTGGTTCTGAGTTGGTGGCCCTACAACATTTGTGCTAAAGGCTGTGAGTCCCACTTGGAGACTTTCTGTTTCGTGGTCAGAGAAGTGAGGAGGGGCTGTGTTTCCCCACAACCCCCCCCCCCCCCGTGCTGGGTCCCAGACTACGGGCCACACAGTGGGAGGGGAGCAGAGGTGGGACTGAGCTTCCGCACCTCCGAGCCTGGGCCCTGGGCTGTCTTCTCTGTGCAGCCGTCCTGACGCCTGGCCTCTCCTTTCTCAGGCTGTCCTTCTATTCCGGACACTCCTCCTTTGGGATGTACTGCATGATGTTCTTGGCGGTGAGTCTTGTTCCTAGGGTTGGCTTTGGGACCGGCCGAGTCGCTGCCTTCCCTGGGCCTCAGTCTCTCCTTCCGTAGAGGGGTGGGCAGAGGTGGTGATGGATCGGGCTGACTGGTGTGCTCCTGGGAGCCGAAGGCCCCGGGCCTGCTGGCTCCTGTTTGTGGCCTCAGCTCCCGTGTGTGCCTGGGTGTGGGGTGAGCCCGGCCGGCTCCCGGGCTCACCGCCGCCCTCTGGCCCGCAGCTCTACGTGCAGGCGCGGCTCTGCTGGAAGTGGGCCCGGCTTCTGCGGCCCACGGTGCAGTTCTTCCTGCTGGCCTTCGCGCTCTATGTGGGCTACACCCGCGTGTCTGACCACAAGCACCACTGGAGTGATGTCCTGGTTGGCCTCCTGCAGGGGGCACTGGTGGCTGGCCTCACCGTGAGCTCCTGGGCTTGACCTTCCCCGCACCGCCCACTGCCCTGGGACCCTCCTCCTTCCTGCGCGGGTCTTCCCCCCCAGAGCCCCTTCCTCACCCCCGCTGCCTTCCCCGGGGCGGGGGCGGGGCAGTCCCCAGCCCCCGGCAGCTCTCGCCTCCCCCCTAGGTTCGCTACGTCTCTGACTTCTTCAAGTCCCGGCCCCCGCAGCGCTGCCTGGAGGAGGAGGAGCTGGGCCGGAAGCCTAGCCTGTCCCTGACGCTGACCCTGGGTGAGGCTGACCGCAACCACTACGGGTACCCGGTCTCCTCTTCCTGAGCGACGTCTGTGGGTCCAGCTGGGCGCCGGCCGTGCCCCTTGGGGCGGCGACGAGGGCTCCACACAAGCTCGGTGCCCCGTGCTGGTGGCTGCTTTGCGTTTGGAAGGCGGGCCTTGTGTTCTCCGCGCCCTCAGAACCCCCTTTGTTGGATTAGGGGGGCCCTGGGAGTCCAGATAGATGCTGTTTTTGTAAAGTGTAATGTATATGTGGACTTTTAGTAAAACGGAGCGTTTGCTCGACGCGTGGTGTCGGCCTGTGTTCCTTACGTTGTGAGCGCTGTTCCCACGCGGGGTCACTTCCTGGCGGGGGCTCAGCTGAGCTCAGGCGCAGACAGCTGGTGGCAGTGGTGGTGGTGCTGTCATGGGGAAACGCGGAGAGAGGACGCTGCCCCGCCTCACCCCGCGTACGTCCTGGTCTGCCTGTGGACTCGCGTGCATCACGGCCGGAATCCCCTGAGCTCCACCCCACGCCCGTGGACAGAGACCATGAAGAGGAGGCCGTGGGGACCTCTGGTCTCGTCAGTGGGTCACAAGTACCGCTGACAGCCCGCGATGGCTGATGGTGTCCTTGTCCTTAACCTGTGCGACCCGGTGCTGTCTCGGCCAGACTGTCCAGGTTTTGTTCTCCAGCGCCCCGCTGGTGTCCCAGAATTGCTTGGTGTTGTCTTGGGGGGGTCGTGCCCCCTGGATGCTGAATCGGGTCTGGAAACTGAAAGCCTTGCTGTTTGTGGCCTGGTCAACTCAACAAGGCAGTGCAAGGACAGCCAAGGCCTCACTGGCCTCCTCTGCTCCTCTCAGTAGGGGGAGCGGCCCCATGGCACAGCGCTCGTGGCGAGGGTCCCGTGTGCTGCAGGAGGCTCTGGCAGTTGTCTGTGCCCCAGGGAGGGCTGGGATTGGGGACACCCTGGGTTTGAGCCAGAGTGGGGAGAGGTGTCTTCCTGGCTCTCCCCTCACGGTGGGGAGGCCTCTGCTGAGAGCCCCCTCCCCCCGACACAGGTCCCCCCACATGGAAACCCTGGGCACAAGTTCAGTTACAGGTAAGGGCACCGTCAGGGGGGCTGAGTCCTCACCTGCAGCGGGGCTGTGCCTGGGTCCGCTGCTGGGGAGCCTGGAGCTCCCCTGGGTGGTGGGCCAGGGGCTGGACCCCTCATCCCCCTTTCTGCTCGGGGACTACTCTCCCCCCAACTGACCAGAGCCCTGCCCTCGGATCGTCCAGTCTCGGCAGTGCCCACCTTAAACTGATGTACGTGGGGGCCCCGGGACTCCAGGTCTGGCCGCGCCCTGCGTTCCTGGCAGACTCCTGCAGCCACAGATCCCTTGACCTGGCGCGTCCCCGCTGGGCATGCACGTGGGGCTCAGAGCAGCTCCTCGGAGTCAGCTCGGGATGCCCGCTGCCCACATGCACAGACGTGAACGGCCGGAAAGTAGAATAGGGGCAGGCTCACTGCTGGAAGGAGACGGGGCACCTGGCTGGCTCAGCCGGTTGAGCCTCTGCCTTCGGCTCAGGTCACGATCGCGGGGTCCTGGGGTCGCCCCGCACCGAGCTCCCTGCTCGTGCTTCTCCTTCTGTCCCTCCTCCTGCTTGTGATCTCTCTCTGTCTCTCTGTCAAATAAGTAAATAAAATCTTTTTTAAAAAAAATGGAAGGAGATGTGTTCAAAACCTTAGTGTAGGGCGGCCCGGGTGGCTCAGTGGTTTAGCGCCTGCCGTCAGCCCAGGGCGTGATCCTGGAGACCTAGGATCGAGTCCCGCGTTGGGCTCCCTGCATGGAGCCTGCTTCTCCCTCTGCCTGGGTCTCTGCCTCTCTCTGTGTGTCTGTCATGAATAAATAAATTTATAAAAAAATCTTTTAAAAAACCGCAAAACCTTAGTGTAGGGGAAGCCTTCGGTAATTGGGGAAAACCGAGAGAGTGAATGCGGCATGCACGGTGGGTCCCACGCCCGGGACACGCCGGGAGATGCCAGGCCTCTGGAGCTGGTCGCCCCACTGAGCTTGGTACCGCGGGATGACTGCAGAGCATACAATGACAGTGTAGTGACTTTGATTTTTTTATTAAATACGTGTAAAGCAGTTTACATATTTTTAAGTGTTAAAGTTGTATTTGTCTCCAGAATCTGTGTTTCTCCATTCGCCTGTTCTGGCCGGGCCTCAGCACGATAACGTTCTGGGGGGCAGAGACGCAGCCTCACAGCCCCATAGCCCCGTGCTGGGCCTGGATGGAGATGATCTCAGGGCCACCGTGACCTTGCTTTCGGGGCTGCGGCAGATGGGGAGGGGGCCCAGACGCCGTGGGGCCCAGATGCTGGACATCAGGCACTTGGCTTCACCAGAGGCATCGGGAAAGCCACCGTGAAGCTGCCCCGGGGCTGGGGAGCCTGGGCGTTCCAGGAGAGGGGATGGCAGTGACCGAGCCCTTGCTGCCCGCGAGGAGGACGTACCGAGACTCAGGCCGGGGTGTCTTTGTCAGTGAAGGGGGTGTGGGCCGGACCCCACCGGGAGCTGGGGATCAGGAGCAGGTGGGAACGACCGATTTGGGGCCCTTGTTGGCACCCACTGCTGCCCTCCCCTGGCGTGGTGACCGTGAAGGTGTCCAAGCCACCGTGATGCTTTGGGCCCAAACAGTGGAAACAGCCATGGTTGAAACGTCTGAATGCAGTTTGCCAGCCGATGAGGCGTAAGGAGCAGGGAAAAAATGATGATGGAGGTGAGTGGGTCGTGGCAGAGGGTCTGGGTGGCCTTGGCCATGAGAGCGCCTCGGTGCTTCACACAGACCCCAGGGCCACAGGCCTGAGGACAGACAGTGGTGCTGGCCCGGCTCGCCTCGAGTCCTCAGAGGGCCTGGAGGTCACAGCCTCTGGTCCCAGTAAGCTTCTTGCTTTACTGGAGCCTTCGCACGCTTGTCTGGGTTGGTGAGAAAAGAGCTGCAGTTTCCGGGTTCACTGGTTCTTACAGATTAGGAAGAGTTAGGACATACGGATATGCCAGGCAGAGACGCAGGGCAGCCCTCACGTACGTGACTGTAGGGCTACACGCCTTACGGTTTCATGGAGAAAACGGTCTTTTCCTCTTTTTACAAAGGAGATTTTTCTGTTGATTCTTCTTGGAAACTCCTAGATCCTTAGCCATGGAAATATCATTTCTCATGGCCTGTTCTCAATGCTCCACATTTACCCTACTTTCTGACGTTTTTTTGACGGATGAAAAGCAGGATTTTTTTTTTGAGTTTTTTTTTTTCTTTTGAGTTTTTTAAGAGCAAAATGCTACTATGGTTTTGAGGGAAATCCTGTTTCCTTTGGTGTAGGTGCACCCTGAAGTAATTAGGAGTGAAGTTGTGTGATGTCTATGACCTACTGTTGTTCCCCATACAAAAATGTGAAGCAAATGTGCCAAAATTATAATACATGTAAAGTCTCTGTGTTTATGTTCATTATGTCGCTTTTGGTACTATATTTTGCAAAATTGTATATTCAAAAGGAAAATTCTGCGCAAATGAATTTCCTACATTGAACAGTATCCATGCATTCCTTATTTCCCAAATGATTCGTATTTAAGTTGCAACATCATAAAATCCTAGTTGAAAAACAAGATTATATTAATCTTTAGTATAAATTAAATATAATTTCAGATTAGTGTCGGTTACCACCCTGATGCAAGAAGGCAGCTTCCCCCGTTCTTCAGCAGCAAGCAGTGGTGGTGACAGCCTGGTGCCCCTGTCACTCTGATCACGTAAATAGAGGGAGAAGGATGGCAACTTTGTACTGAAACTAAAAAGCCTCTGATTTTTCTTAATCCTCTCACACACTTTCAGCAGTTGGACAGCTCCCAGGCTCCTCGAGAGCTGCGGGTCTCTAACAGGAGACCCACCAGCTCCCCAGTATCTCGGCGAGCCTTATTTTTTTTTCAAAGATTATTTATTTATTTATTCATAGAGACACACAGAGAGAGAGGCAGAGACACAGGCAGAGGGAGAAGCAGGCTCCATGCAGGGAGCCTGACGTGGGACTTGATCCAGGGTCTCCAGGATCATGCCCTAGGCTGCAGGCGGCGCTAAACCGCTGCACCACCGGGGCTGCCCATCGGTGAGCCTTATTTTTCACAGTTGTGATCTGTGGAAAGAAGCAACCCAGAGTGCACCTTTCATAGCCTGATTTCGAGTGAATCCAGGACTTTGTATGAGAATCTGCCGCTGGTCAAAGACTGGAATTGCTGGTAACGGGCACCTGCCCTGCAAAGGTGCAGCTCCTCCCCATCCCGTCTCCCAGCTCCCAGAGGACCTGCCCACCTCCCCCGGCGTCAGACACAAACGGCCACACCTGTCCAGCCACTATGTGGCAGCCCATCCGAGGCCAGAGTGGCATCCCCGGAGGATGGATGGAAACCAGCCCTTGACACTGTGGAAGACCAGAGGGAACTGAGGTGACCTAAATGGAAGAAAAAAAAGCATGTTCCATTTTCGTTTCAGTGGAAACAATCAAGAGACTGTATTTCTTCGGTACCCATTTGAAAACTACACCTTCCTCTCACCTGCCATGAAAGCTGCTCCGTGTATTAAACAGCTTTATTCTCCATAAGGAGCGAGGCTGCAGGGTTTCATTCACGACGTGCTCCGTGTTCAACTTCTTGTCTAGGTCTTCCTACACAAGACGGCTAAGGGGCTGTTTCTAGGGGATCCTGAGGTTTGCTGCAGCCCGTGTGGTTCTCCCCATCATCCCTGCAGGGTGGAGCGCACACCACTCCCCGAGTCCTCTCCTTTCCGGTTCACCATGGTGCTGGAGGTGTGAAGACACCCTCCCACCTCCGGGGACGATGGACTTTCAGCTCTGCCCCACCTCACCCTTGTGTCCACCTGCAGGAATTTGTCCGTGTCCCTGTCTCCCCCCAGGCTGGAGAGGTGCCTGCCCTGGCCCGGGGCCTGAAGTTGGGGATGCTCTAGCGGTGTCCTGACAGCCACGTCGGGGAGCTCTGCAGGGTTTTCCAAGCACTGCCTCAAGCCGCATAGACTTGACACCCTAGGGACACATTGGGCAGGAGATTGGTGTTCCTCTTGGTCTCCTCTCTGTGGCAAACCCCAAGGCTGGGACGTGGCACAGAGTTTCTGAATATCCACCTGCACTTGCAGGAGGCACTTTAGGGGGTAAACCCATCCATGCATGCAGTGTTTGTGGGGCACCATTTGGTGCTTTGTCCAAGAATGGAAGGCACTAGTGACATGTAGCCCTTTAAGTTAATTTAAATTCATA